AAATAAGGACTAAAAGGTATAACAGATAATGTGAAATAGGAAGAAAAGGGGCAAAGGGGAAGGGGAAGAGGGAGGGGTAGGGAAAAGGAAAGAAAGGAATGGAATTTATATGAGAAAATGGAAAAACGGAAACAAACTCTTTGTAAATGGGGAGGGATGGAGGGGATGAAGGGAGGTCAGGGGAATGGGGAAAAAAATAAGAACCAAGAGAGATTATGTTAAGGTGCAAATTTCCAAGGATGAATGTCATTATATTGTATACCTAAAATGTACCAATAAAATTAATTTTTAAAAAAGTGGTACAAACACATACAATTCATCATCTTTTGAAACTCAAGTTTAAATTCTTCATACAAACAATTCAAACTTACTTTATCTGGAATATTTTGAACAATGATGCCCAAATGGGACAAAACTGATAGAAATGTACAAATGCTTGTCTTAAGTTTTTCTTCACTCTGAAAGAGAATTAGATAGGCAGACGTTAATTCCAGGGTTGCAGTGAGCTGCACACTACACAACACCATGCAGAACTCTAGAAAGGCACAGGAGGGAGACAGCTTCTTCGCTGTGTGGGGTCACAGGAGCAGAAGCAAGAAAGGAGGGGGCCCCCTGGAACCCAATGTGGAGGAACACAGCACTCAGCTACAGACACCCACCGCAAGTGGCAGAGCCCAGGGCACACTCCCTTTGGAGGAGGCCTGGCCTGCAGGACAGGCAGGATGGGCTTGGAGAAGCAGCGGGCACAGGGGAGCAGGAAGGAGGGGACAGGTGAAAAGGATGGGACAACAGACATAGAGGCCAGTGTATGTCAGAGGCAGAAGAGGTGATGCAGCAGCTTGGCAGGACAACAACAGGACTGAGGTTCCAAAGTGAAATGGAATCATACCATAGAAGACTTGAAAAGCTATGGCAAAAAGCTACATAAGAGTGGTAAACTGGACCCTGGAGACCTTCTCAGTGACAGTGGTTTGGAGTCACCTACTACTTCAGTGATAAGAAACTGAAGGATGCCAGACAGGAAAGAGACCTTAGGCGGGAAGACATGAGAGATGAAGAGTTCCTTTATCTAATTATGTGACGGGTACTTAGGAAATATGAAAAGCAGAACAGACCAGTAACTGCTCTCATGGAACCAAGGACCCCATGGGGAGGAAAACCATAAATCAAAGATTAAAGTTCTACTCATGGGAAGTATGACTTATGTGCTATAGGAAACCTCAAATAAGGGGATCCAAATACTCAGGGAGGCATGTCTATCAGTAACAAATGTGAACAAGAGGAGGGCCATCCAGATGAGGATAAAGTCATGGTTTCCAGCAGAGGACACAGCATGCACAGTGGCCTGGGTGCAAAAAGACTGGTGAGGAATCAGAAAGATTAAAAGGGCTGAAATTAGACCACTGTGGGAGGTGAAGGAGGAGGATTATAAGTTCCACCCTCAGCCTAGGCAATTTAGCAAGACCCTGTCTCAAAATTTAAAATAATAATAATTTTTTAAAGGGCTGGAGATAGAGCTCAGTGTGAAGGCTCTGAGTTCCATCTGTAATACAGAAAAAAAAAAAAGAAGTAGAAAAAAGAGGCCAGATCCAAATACTCAGGCCCCATTCACCTTGAGAGCATTGCTCATAGGACTTTCTCTGGCCAATGAGACCTTCAAGTATGCCACAGCCAGAGAGGGAGTGACTCTGCACATGGGGACATGTCCTCCTGAGGACTCCATCCTGGAACCACAAGCCACCATGTAGAGAGAGCCAGTCACCCTACAGGGGACAAGAAGTGAGGGCCATGCTGGCCAACAGAACTGTTCTTGCCTTTACAGCTGAGGTGACAAAGATGGGAATGAAAACGCCACCGAAGTCCGAGCCCTGCAGGACACATGGAGCAGCAGTGCCTGCCAGGCTAGGCAACACTGAGAATCATAAATCTTGCTGTGCACACCACTGAGCTGGGGAGGCCTAGCAACCGAAAAGGGGACCAGACAGCACGTGGTGCACAATTGTAATCCCAGCACCCTGGGAGCCTAAGGCGGTTAATCACAGGTTTGAGCCCAGCGTCAGAAATTTAGTGAGATACCCTCTCAAAATAGCATGAAAAGAGTATGAAGGCCCTGGGTTCTACTACCCAGTACCCTTCCTCTCATCCCCACACACATAGACATAAAGAAAAAGGAAAAAAAAAGACAAGAAAAAAGAAACCAAGATGATCAGCGCGACTCAGGGCTGAAGGCAAATAGAACACAGAAGGCAAGCAGCCTGCATGACGGCCTCCGGCACTAATCTTAGTGTTGGTTCCTCAAGTTATTTTCAAGGCATGAGAAACAGTGGGCAGGGGCACAGGGGACTCCAGGATGGAAATGGTGACAGGGTTCCCTTCTGTTCTGCTTCAGTCTTGTTTGAAATTGTCCTACTAATGAGTTTGAGTAAGGAATGCACTTAATCCCTCATCATTCTTTTCCCCCCCAGGGGGAGGAGAAAAGCAGATGTTTTATTTCATTTTTTTAATAAATTTTATTTTATTTTATCCCACCCTCCCCATTCTAAAATCAAATGAAGACTTGCTGGACTACTGCTTAAGAACAAAATGCCTTTCTACTTTTGTTTTATTGGAATTAGATCAGCCCTCAAATAAAAACTATGATATACTCAAGATAAACCAGAGATGTCTGTTCCCTAAATTAATTCGGGACTTGAAAGCATAATTTACAAAGTCAATACATCAGGGCAACTGACAGTCAGAAACAACTAAGTCAAAATCAGAGTTTAGAAAAACATTAGAAGTCTCTTTTACTTACATAAGAAAAGCAATCCCAGAACTTTGGAAGAAATTGAGGGCATTTATGAAGAATTAATATAATAATCCATTCTATAAAATATTTTATGGAAGCTTGATTGTTAGTGAAACCAGCATGGAAAATCTTGTCAATAATTCCATTCAAGAAATTCTGAGAAAAATAAAGTTGCACAAAAATGTTGTTATTAATCTTAGTTTTTAAAAAGTCCCCATTATTAAAAGGTTTAGTTTTACTCTAAGTAAGTTACCAACTCCACACTTTCCACATAAAGACCCTAGAATGTGTCCCATGTAAAGACTCTAAATTGAGTACTAAATTTATGATTTACTTGGACATTAATCCTAGGAGGAACATCATTATCATCTGTGTTTTACTGGGGGAGAAGATTCAGAGAAGCTGAATAACTTTCCCAGAGTCACATACTTGTGAAGCAGCAGGACCCAGAACCAAATCTTAACCTGTTAAACCAGGGCAACTCAGAGGCCACATCAAAGGGGAGACAAAGTCACAGTCTTCAGGCTGTGCACCCTCCCGCCCTGGGGTCTTTCCAGCCCCCTCACACTGCTATTCTCTGGCCAAGACTTGGAGCTCCAAAACCATCCTTTTGCTCTTACACTTCCGTTCAAAAGTGTACTTCTCTCTTGAATAATGGATCACATCTAACTAGCAGGTGAAGAACATTCTGTTTAAATAAGCATATTAAAAATGTTTTATATTTATTTTAAAGAAGAAAAATCTACCTTAATAGAACTTGTACCGAGTAGGAAAAGAGCAGAAAAGCTCATTTTAAGCCTTAAAACAAGGAGCATGAACTCTGGTGTCAGATTTGTCTTGAGGGCCATCTCTACCATCCCCTAGCCGTGTCCCTCAATGGCAGCTCACCTCGCTTCTCGGCAGTGTCCTCGTGAATAAAGGGGAATATTTATGCCTGGCTGTGAAAGACTATTCCAAAGACTAAGCGAAACGGTAAGATACAGCAATTGGAGAAACTCAGCAGTGCTCTCCATGATAGACATGCTGGTCTTGGTCTTCCTTTTAGACCCTGTGTACTCTGATGGCCACCCTCCAATATTATGGGAGTCAAGAAAGTATGCTCTCAGTAACCTGGTAAAGCACTTCCAGAATGTTTTTTTAAAAGAATTTTTACATGGAATGAAGTGTATTACATACAGCATTTAAAAAATTCACATATTAAAAGGCAGCCCCTCCAGCTGTCCTCTGACATTTACATGTACAAATACATGTACACACACTGTCCCTGAAGTGTCCTCTCTCACAGAACCCAAGGCTTCATAAAACTAGAGTAAAAAGAGGCTGATATATTTTTTAAATTTCCTCATATTGAAAAGAAGGTGTGGAGGATGTAAGAAATTTTCAAGTCTGAGAGAATCTTTTCATTTTCAAAAACTGTCTTTAAAATTGCATGAGTCACGGTTACTTCCTCAACATGAGGAACACTTTCCTTACAGGAGCAAGGATGGGTGGGAAATCAGACAGAGTCCACTCGAGTCCTCTCTGCCTCTTGGGGCCGAGAAAAGGGAACTTGGACACAGGGACTCTGCAGCAGAGGAAGAGGGTGGCCTTTTCTGACCTGGTGTGTGTGGCCACAGCACATGAGATTAAGGGCAAGACAATCTACCACGGAAATGACAATCCTACCCCAAATACTGCAATTCTCCTGGCTTCTGGCAAACAGCTGATCCGAAACATAATACTCCAAAATAACTGTGCTGTGGGAAATGAGTTCAGCCTTTACGTTTTCTAATCAAACGGCATACAAGTCTATAAACATTGACAATGTTATATTAAAACACTGAAGGAAAAGTACAAAACGAGGCCGTGTAAACCAACTTCCAATTTATTTTTACAACACCTCACTTCCTTAGTATCCTATTAAAATATTTCTCAATAGTTTCCTTTTTATATACTGATGCATAAATTTTAAACATTACCTTCTCAATTTTAAAAAAGCACATGACAGTTTCTACAAAATAGTTTATTCATGTGGAACATTAAGGCTTATAAGGGTAGAAATGTAATAAATGTTATACCTGATCAAAGCTGGGAAAAAGTACGAGCAGAGTCTGCCATATCCGGTTCTTCACACGATGCTGGAGAGAATTCTCGTAGTACCGAGTTCTAGTCTTAGACACCAACTCATCCTGCAGGGGTGGAAACAAAATCAACAATTTCAAAATTAAAAGGCTTAAAATGGGCACAGTGGCCTTTGTTCCTCCAAAAGCAGGTAGTAGCATAAGATAGGCAATGACACTTTAAAATCCCCTTTATATCAATGAATTTAGTTGCTTTTGTTTAAATTTCTTGTAAAATTAGGAAACCATAAAACTGGGAGATATGGATCACACGGTGAGAAGACTGAGAGAGCTACCAGATATTATAATGTACAATACAGTGGTACCCATATAGCTCATTTTATGACCTTCTTTCCTATTCCCGTTTGGAGTATCTTTGCTACAAAAGCCACTAAGAAGTCACCACAGGAAATGTCAGTGCAATGCCAACTCTAGACACAAGATGGCAGCACGAAGCCTTTCCACATTAGCACCCTGCTCTGCAGAGATTTTAATGGTCTGTGCCACCTAAACTCAGGCAGCCATGAGGTTTTTGTTTTGCAGCGCTGGAGATGGGCCTTACCACTGAGCCACAACTCAAGCCCTCAAAGTTGACTTCTGTCATAACTCTTGGTACTTTAGCTGCTGATTCAGACAGCACTGAAGAGTGTTCACACATTCAAATGCCTTCAAGGTGGAAAAGTCATCCATTACCTCCAAAGCAATTTCTGTCAGTGGGGACCATCCTTCTCCAGCAACCACAACTACATATCTGTGAGTGTATAAAACACCACGAGATCAGTCAAATAAATACAAATTTAAGACACCTAAAAATGACTAGAATCTCACAACTGCCTCCATCACTGTTATTTATTTGGGAAGTTGTCTTCTAATACATGTTGCTCAGGCTCAGTGCAGCTGAACACCGAACATGACACCATGAGGGTGGATCCTCCTGCATTTAAAAGAAGCACCTGTTCCTCAACAAACCTCTCAGGAGGCCTGTCCCTGGGCTTCAAGAGTTACAGTCCCAGTTCTCACAATGAAGTGCTAAGATTCCCTGTCAGCTCAAAATCTTCCCTCCTGTCCATGTTACACTCACTGGACTAAACATCCAGAAAGACCTTTACTTTCTCTTTTAGTCTGTCAACTATGTCGTAGTTTCCTGAGCCTCCCGATCCAAGCTACTCTGGTAGAATAATCCCCATCCTCTTTTCAAGAGCACAATCTAGTCTTTTCACTCTTGTCTCAAAGCCATTTAGAAATTCCCTGCTTCTGAGCCACCAAGGGGTCTGAGACTCACTGATCCTTTGGGCTTCAGAGTCATAGTATGGGCTTGTAAAAGCCAACTAAAATCCCCAGGTTCAGATTCCTCAGGCTGGGGATGGCCTAGAGATGTGCAATCCTAACAGGCTTCTGGGAGATGCTGGCACTACTGGTCCACAGAAGACTCAGAGGTGCTGCACTAGACGGTCATTTGCTTTTTCCCATATCTGTTTCCCAAAGTGGTAGCATGACTTTATAATCCACCAGGCACAAAGGAGGGTCCCAAGATATCTCTCTCCTCACCAACACTCACTGTTCTGTTGTTCTCTGTAGCCATCCTACTGAGTGTGAGGTGACTGCTAGGGGACACTGCCTGTGTGATGATGTTGGTCTCCCTGTAACTATGACCTTCCCTGCCTACTGGTGGGTTCCTTCAGCACACTGACATGCACTAATTACTGTGCATCTTCTTTACCTCTTGTCCCCCACTGGGAGCCACCTCACCTTCTTCCTTTTCACAGCAAATTCCTAAGAGTGCTACATGCACTGTCTCCACTTGCTCAATCCCATTTTCTTCTCAATCCTTTCTGGTTAGGTTCCCATTCCTACCACTTCCTCTAAATCTCCTTTGTCAGTAACCAATGGCAGGAGACACTAAGGGCACACTGGCGATTCCTTTTCCTGCACACAACACTTTCCTCACTTGGCTCCACACACCATCCTGCCTGGTGTCTTTCTTCCTTCTGACAACTCATCAGCCAAATGCTACCTTGTAGAGAGGCCTCCCTGATCCTTATCTCAATAGCCAGCTGAACACTGTCATGTGAATTTTCAATTCCAATAGAATAACCTGCTCCCCTACTTTAATTTCTACTTATCCTGGAGGCACCAATAAAATACCTTCCTGCCAGGCATGGTGGTGCATGCCTGTTAATCCCAGTGCTGGGAGGTTGAGAGAGGAGAACTACAAGTTCAAGCCTGGCCTACTTCGTGGGACCCTGTCCTATCTCAATATAAAAAAAAAGTGCTGGTCCTAGCTTACTGTTAAGGCCCTGAATTCAATTCCCCCCCACCCTGGTACTGGGGATCACTCAGGATATTGCACTTGCCAGGCAGGTGCAGTGCCACCGAGCTACATCCCCGGCCCTCTGACTTCAATTCTTAATGTCACATGCACTCGCAGGTGTGTGTGTATGTGCTTTCCTCTGGGTCATGGCCCCAAATCTCACAATGAAAAGACAAAGGAGCGAAAAGTACTTTGTGGGTTTCATGTAACAAAGCTGACATGCTACTTTCAGAAAACAATAGTATGGTAACCATTCCCATTTTAATACAGGTCACTTAAGTAGGTTCTACAGTCACTCAAGTGTCTCAGAGGTCAGAAAGCAGAGCAAGGACTCTTCTATTTGTGCTTCAAATTCTATATGTCATTTAAAGAGTAAAAATAGAATGGAGCTTTGCACATGGCTTTACAAACCTCTTTGATCTCCCCAGATTTATTAAACCCATTCTACAGACACTCTAATGTTCATTTACAAAGGATTTAGCAGGCTCAAAAACTCTGATTGTTTTCTTTTGAATAAGTAAGAAATTTTCATCAATCTCAGATAATCATCATAAACCAGATCTAAGATATGACAGCATGCTCCATCAGAAGCAAATCCTGAGGTGACTTTTCATGGACTCTGAAGTCACAGCAATCAGTTCTTCACATTATGATGCTTCCCAAATGTTGACCTGTTTGGTCTGTTTGTATGGATGCAGCATGTAAACACAGCAGGTTTGGGCTGGTACTGGAAAATACACAGGCTGAGGGTCAGAGGGCACAAGGAACCCAAGTTGGACAATTACTAATCAACACTTAACTAAAAATTCAGAACACAGACTTCGTGATTTCTAAAAAATATTTAGAAATACATATTCTAGCACCATGAAGAATAAATGCTGGACTTTGACCTATTAAAGCTAAAGATAATTTAAAGTAAAATAAAATATATTTACTTTATCCAATAGCTTCATTGCAATATCTTCTATGAACAACTTGTGGGATGCGTTTGAGCCATCTAATAAACACAAGAATTTGACAGCACAGATTCTCACATAATAGTCTTCTCTTTTAGTACTAAAAAACATAAAATGAACTTGCTTTATACATTCATATTTTTTGAAAATGGAAAATACATTAAATATTAATTTCAAAAATATTGTAACAAACATCAAATCTGCCCACCACCAATTTGTCTAAGATTATGTAGGTCCACACTTAATGACTATGGTGGTTAATCCTGATCATGTCAACTTAGTTGGCTTGGGATCTGCCCAAGAGATTGCAGAGCACACTCCTGGGTTGTGAGTGCAGATCATGGAGGTGCGATCTTGGGTCTTTATCTGGTTCCTTCCTCTCTGGCACTGTTCCCTTGCTCTATCATGTTTTTGCCTTGGAGCCAGCTGACTGTGGACTAGACTCCCTTAAAATATGAGCCAAATTAAACCTCTCCCCTCCTTTAAGTTGTGGGTATCTGGTATGGTGTCTCAGTAATGGGAAAGCTGACTAATATGTCAATACTTTTTAATTCAGAGCAACAGAAGGTAACAAATGAACATATTAAAAGAAGAGTGAGTTCAGAAAGTATGAGTGAGCACAAATTCATTCAGATTTCTAGAAAAACAATACATACTCCACTGGTCTTGGTCGTCAATATCTGTGGATGAAACAGACCCTAGCTTGTGACACTAACTACCCAACAGCTTGTCTTTACTGCATACTACAAATGCACTTCCTCTAAATGGGATGAACTCCAGAAGTACTGTGTGCTCTGAACATCCCAGGATTTTTAGCAGTCAAATGTGGAAAGATAAATTAAGTAAAATTATCAGTAATTTCCACATTCATTTTAACTGCTGTAATGTGGATAAATGTCACTTTAATAACAAAGCACTTGTGTAGTAGAAATCAAAGTATTTCACAATCATTCACTAGAAAATTTCTTTTATTGCTACACTAAACCAGATAGGAAAACAAAAAATTAACAGCAATAATAAAAATAATACATGTACTTAATAAAGACTGGCAGATGATTTAAGATATATTTAGCACTCTCAGAATAAAACTTTTGTGACACTCTATAAAATAATTATTTGTTGTTCTAAATTCGAATCACAGAGAATACAACACTTTTAATCATGTTTATAAACACAGTTTTGAAAGCTATGTGAAAAAGTAAAACTTGAAAAAAAGATATCTCACAAGCTCCAAAAAATTAGTTAAAAGGTTAGAATAAGAACAGTCTTATCCTAGAAATCAAACCCTTACAGTCTATCCCCAGACTCATCAAGCAGTATACACACAGCTTCTTACATGTCAATCACATTTCTGTAAGGGGTTTAAGTTAAAAAAGAAAAAAAAACAGGACCCATTCCCAGAGTGATTCTATTTTTGTGCATAACCTATTGACTCATTAAAATAGTGAGTTTGAATTGTATGATCAATTTTACACTCACCCCAAAAAAGAACTGAAGAATAAAGCACGTGCACTGATGAACAGCTCCCCACAGAGGATGTGAGTTTTATGCCCTCCAAAGGAACTTCCTTATTTATACAAGACTTTGCACTACATTTACCAATATTCACTAAATTTTAGTAAATACTGAAAGATGTGAAGAAAATATATTAGCAAGGAATACGATTCTTTTGGGGGAAGGTAAGATGCTTGGGATGGAACCTAGGGCGAAGCACATGCTAGACAAGTGCTCAACCACTGAGCTACATTCCAGCCCAAAGAATATAATTTCTAATATACTTTTGAGGGCTTGATCAATATCTTAAAATAGATTACAGTATTTTTCACTAGTAAATATTTATTAAATTTGACAAAAACAGAATATTTGTTGTATGATGTTAAATCTGGAATATCTCATGTTTGTCAAGATATAATAAACCTACCACACTTACTTTTCCATAACAACATTTGCTGCACAGTCCTGTCCAAGATTTTCTATGAAGGTTTGTACATCCTGAATAAGTCTTTCCATAAAAAATTTGAAAAAGAACAACAGGATTAGATGAGTAGGAAAAATGAAAGTCCTCAAGTAACTCATACTTTACAGTCTTCTGTTTGAAGTCTCAAAACAAAGTCATAATTCTAACCAGACAGGTATTTAATCTAAGTTATAACAACTTGCAATAATGGCATTTTTTACCTCTGATCACGTCTAAACACAGTTCCAAATATACAAGCCTCCAGGACAAGTTCACTGTAATTTTTGGCACTGAACAAAGATCGCTTGGAGTCAGACACTATCCAAGATTGGCAGCAGTAACTGATCAGTATATTGAAGATTCCAGTTCTTATGGCAGACATTTCGATTATCTTGTACATAATCTGGAATGAAATGCAATGGTCATTTTATCCTTTGAACAACTTAGTTTTTAAAAAATTAATGTTGTTAAAAATGTATTTCAATGGCTTCAAATGAGTTTCACCATAATCATGAATAGTCTTAAAAAATTTAAAATTCATTATTAGAACAATTTTGCAAGATGATCAATAATCACAGAATGGTGCTTTTTCACCTCAATAATAAAATGTTACCAATAGTGATATTCACCCAGAACTTTTCTAGAGAAGTACCTGCCCAAGGTAGAAGAAAAGGGTAAAAACACCTCATGTGAATCTTTGAATTTCTTTACATTCCATAGAGCCCCCTTTGGCTGAGACCACACACACCTATGTCTCCTAATATGCACTGTGGGGCAGAAGAGGACCAGAGAGGCACAGATCATGAGATAATCAGAGGATCTGACCTTCAACTTCCCCAAGGCCAGGAGGCACGACTGGATTCCCAGGCTGGGTAGAATTCCCTCAGCTTACGTTTTCTACGGTATGTGTGGCTGCAAATCCAAAAACAGTGGTCCCTTAGCATCTACAGGGGTTTGGGGTGTATGGGGGTGCTTCCAGGGTGCCCTTCAGATACTGAAATCTGCAGAAGCTCAAGTTCCTTATGTAAAGTGGCACAGTGTTTGGATATTACCTATGTACATCTGTACACACTAAGTCATCTCTAGATGACTTATAATGCCTACTACAATGTCAATTCTATGTAAATAGTCATTATACTATATCACTGCACCATACTATTCAGGGAATAATGACAAGAAAAAAGACTGTACATGTTCAGTATTCATGGAACACTTTTTTGATCTACAGTTGGTTGAACCTACAGATCAAAATCTGCAGATATGGAGAGATGACTATACCACAATAGCCTGCAAGATTTTTTTTTTTTTTTTGAGATCCTGGGGATGGAACCCAAGGCCTTGTATGTGCTAGGTCAGCACTCTGGTGCTGACCCTTTCAGTCCCAGAAAAATCTCTTTGTAAGGGTTACATTCAGAGGACTGCTTCTCTACATAAGAAACTCCAGCACAGGTGCAGAGACAAAGGGCACTAAGCATCTGCTTTCAGTTTCTGGGAGGAACCAGACCAACTATGAAGGGCAGAGTGTGCCACTCGTTGTTGTCAGGGGCCACGGTCCTGCAGGAAGGATAGTGCTGCCCCATTACGGTTACCAATCTCCCTAGGGTGGGAAAATACTGGTTTTCATGTAGATTTCCCAATTTTTTTTTTAAGTGATGGAGATTGAACTTGGGGCCTCGCATGTGTTAGCCAAGCACTCTACCACTGAACTGCACCCTCAGCCCTTTTTATTTTGAGCCAGGGTCTCACTACCCTGCCCAGACTGGCCTCAAACTTGCAATCCTCCTACCTCAGCCTCCCAAGTAGCTGGAATTACAAGCAGACAGGATTACTACCACACACAGTCAAGTTTCCCAATTCTCGAGTTGCCAGCTAATGGTCAAAATGTTAAACATTACACAAACCAAATAAAACATGGTGAGACAGATGTGAGTCACTGGCTCCTGATCTGTGCCTTCTTCTCATTACTATTGATGATTCCTAAAGGTCAAGGATATGTTAACTGAGTGGCTGAGCTGACTAACTGCAAATCTAATACCTGCTTACAAACATAACTCTCTCCTTCCCCCATGCCACAGGCCACACAAATAGAAAAGGAAAATGAGTTACCTCTTTTATTTTGAAATATGCCTGGCTCTTGATTTTGGCAGCAATGGTGAGAACTCTGTTATCAAAAACAAACTGAACAAAACCCTTTAGATTAGGCCAGAATGTCAGCTGAGTGTTGCTTAAAGAAGATATGATTTTCCAGGCCATGTCAAAAGACTCTATGCAGAGTGATTCAGCAGATGTCAGGAGCTGGTAGGAGAAAAGGAAAAATATACTTTATCTCTTAATTCCAGAAACTCTGCTTGCTGTTCGTGTCTTGGTCTTCAATTCACATTGCATGGTGTCTCACCTTGGGAACCAGCACCTTCATGCAACGGAACACAGGCAGCACCTGCTCAGAAGGGAGGATGGAGAGGGTGTCCAGTGCAGACCGCAGAGTCTGAGCAGGCATCTGGATGGCAGGCAGCAAGGGCTCTGGAATGGTGCCATCTGTGGCCGGAACCAGGGTGTGGTATTTTTCCAACAGGAAGGAGAGGCAGACCCACTGATCATGGATGTACTGTGCAACCACTCTCCCCCATCCTTGGGAGGATGACTCTTCAAAGAAACTGAAGTAAGACATAAAGTTACTATGCCACACTCCCTCCAACTTGTCTCTGTTCTCATAGAGGAGAACCTGAGGCTGTGGTCTGAATGTGTTTTCCCCCTCAAACACCTTCTTTGCTCCATGGGGGCAGTCCTGGAGGGGCCAGCAAAGTGGGGTGTCTGGTCTGGGGCACAGTCCTCAGGAACTGATTCATGCTTTTCTTGTGACAGTGAGTTCTCCCTTTCAAAGAACTGCATTAGTGACCAAAGAGTAGCCTGTTACTCAACAAGGCTGGCCCTCATGTTCTCACAGCCACAGGCACCTACATGCTCTTCTGATTTTTCTGCCATTTGGTGAAGCAGCATGAATTCAAGAAGATATTGGCATCATGCTCTTAACCTTTCCAGTTTCCAGAACCATAAAACAAAATAAACTTCTTTTCTCTGAAAGTTACCTAGCTTCAAGTGTTTTGTTATAGCAATGAAAAACTAAGAGAGCAGGTATAAATGGTCACCATCAAATATCCTGTCTACCAAAAAGTAAGGCAACCCCATAAACCTCAGTTTTCCAACTACTCAGAAAGCAGGTATTTCCCCAATCTTAAATGAATCTTAAAAACTAACACAGCAAAGTCAGATTTCAACAGAAGAGATGAATAATATGGTCATACATTTTGATCCTAAATGAAGCCTCATCTCCCAAACTTCACAGCGCCATCAGCACTGCTAGGCAATCTCCTATTATCCCAATGACAACAAGACTAGATTTCCAGCCCTTAGCAACAAAGACATCTCCCACCTACCTGCTGCTCTCCATGGGGTGAGCACACTGGCCCTGCTCCTCTGCACGGGGCTTCTGCAGCGTCTGATTAAATGGAAAAGCAGATAGGAACCTGTCCATGGGCTCAGCATCAAGGGAATCCAGCTCTGGCACCGGCTGCAGGGTACTGGCCTCGCAGACTGTGGCCAAAGTAGCCATACTGACCACCTTCTGGATCTGATCACCAAGACTCAGCTCCTGCAGAGTACACAGAGCAATCTTTTATTTCACATAAGCAAGTTCCCGTCAGCAGGGACACCTCAGTGCTGGGCTATGAAATCTCATCCTCCCTTCCCTCTTGGGGCTGCTATTTGGACATTAGGGGAAAGAAAAGGAAATCTAACACATGTCGTTCAATTTTACCATGTCTCTACAGATAGGCAATGAACTGATTTAAAATGCCAACAAGAATTTGGCACTTCACATTAAAAAAAAAATCTGACCTCTTCTTCTGGCAGAGGAGTACCTAAAACTCATAGATGACTGACCAACTACGTGTGAGTAAGCACGTCCCAACCTTTTTCCTGCTCATATACAACATTCCCAGGGTGGAATCTTATTTTACTGGACACTAAAATATGCTAAAAAAAAAAGGCTCCAGGTGACCCACAATTCCTTCCATGAGCCAGACAGACCAGGGCAGAGCTGGGGCTGGGACCCACTGAGCTGGTCTGAACCCTGACCCACACTACCACCAGCAGGAGTGTGGCCATGCTACAGCTTTGTTTTCTTCTCATCTGCAAAATGGGGCCAGTCTCAGAATCTCCTCCCCAGGATTACTGTACATATTACACAGTGGGCTGCTTCATGTGAGGCACCTGGAACTCCACCTGTGGCAACACTGCGTGGCTAACTGTAACGGCCTGGGTTCACACGTAACAGACAATCAGTGATCATTAAGCAGGAAGCTGGGAGCACGGCAGGCGCCACAGTGGCTTCCACAGGTGCTGCCAGCAGCCACAGCTCTACTGGGAGGACCTTCTACCTCCCACTGCAAGCCCTTCCCACCCAAAGCCATAAATCTCTACAGACCAATTTTACAAATCAACTCTGTCCACATTAGTGTTACCTTGAGCCAAGGATGGCTCAGTGAAGTATAAAAGAAAGCCAACTTTTAAGAATGACTGTGGGATGTCTGTGCATTTATTCTACACTTGAGACACACCACATTCTTCTGTATCACTAACAGACTAACAGGGACTAGGTCTCTTATGATTCTAATGACACTAAATATAAAATTTGGACTTGCCCTTTCTGCTTCTGAGTTGCAAGGACACTGAAATGTTAGTTTATACCATCATTTCCTTTTAGACAGCTCTAGAGAAAACTACTTTACAAATTAAATTATTAAAGTAATCAAGTCATTTCTTTGTTTTTATCTGTAGCATAGACACATTAAGACTATGATTCTGTTCAACTGCATTAATACTTACCAAGTGAAAAGTGAAAATAGCTAGTGTTTACTGAGGATTTTCTACATGTCAGGGACTGCTCTAAAGATTCACCATGTGTGGGCTTGCCATAATTTTCCCATATCAACCCTATAATCCACATCCTGCAGCTGTACTAAATGGGGGACAGGGAGCTTATGTAATTTTCCCTTGGTCACATAATGGCAAGGATAAATCCAGGGTCCAAACCCAGGAAGTCTCTAAAGCCTGCACTCTTTACTGCTATCCCTTTCTGTGTGACGTTCAAGAAATACTTGCAGGTGTTAATACCTGGTGGAGACAGATACACACAAATTAGTCTCACAAAAAGAAAGATGGAAATAAGCACCATAGTGGAGGCATAAAGAGCAATAGGAACATGAATGAAAGAGTGAGCCTCTAATCCAAGAAAACCTCTAGAGAAAAGCAATTTCCAGTGGGCAACAGGGAAGGACCAGCCACACACAGGTGCACTGGAAGAAGCATGGCAGGTGCTGTCATGGAGAACCTCTATATGGTTGCCTGCAGGGTGAGGCACTGTAGAAAGGAGGAAGGACAACAGACAACAAGGGTGGAAACTGAGGCAGGAGGCTGAGCATGGAGGGCTCTGGTATCAGGCTGATGAAAGCATCCTGTATTAGACATGTGTGGGCAGAAAACCTAGTGTAAGTCCCCTATCTATATCTAAATATTTGTAAGTCTGAAATCATCACACTTCTGATACATGTTTAATAGTATGACAAGTATTGAAATCCTAATCACATAGATTATCACCTGCAGGTACAATTTTAACAAATTTCAGCACATACTTTCTATGATTTCAAGATACTGTGCATGTAACAACTGAATGTGTCTTCCCTGATACCTTATTCAACATAACAATAAACCTCGGAGTTAAGAGGATTTTACCTTTCCACTTTCCATCTCTTGAAGATGCCGCATAGATGCATTTTTCAAAGGAGAAAGTACTCTGAAGATGGAGTAGGCCCTTTTCCACCCTGCCTTCAGATGGAGGTTTGTGAGCTCAGTTAACAGCATGAGGTATAAATGGCAACGATCCAGATCTGCAACCTAAGACAGACATCAAAACACATCAGGGAGCAAGCAAGGTCCATGAATTACACATACCTGTAAGAGACAGCACAGGCAGGAAACAGCCAGTTTGTTTAAAAGTGCTAACAAGATTCAGAGGAGAGTCACTCCCCCATGAACCCTCCGCAGGCCTGTAGACTTGCTTTTCAGTACTCTATGACTTCCCACTCAGCACAGCTATGGCACATTTCACATCAAGTCATCTGTCCCCCCATACCTATTGTGAGGCCCTGTAAGGGAAAAGCTGTTTCATCAATTCCTACATAAACATCACCAATAACAACTGTAGTAACTGCCACTTGCTTTTAAAATCATGAATTCTTAGAAGCTTTCAAAGTTAAAAAAAATAAGTTTTGGGGAAGTTGAACAACTTGCCTGACACCTCCGAGCTACTACGTAGGAGGCACAGAATAAAACCCACATCTTTTTGACTAGTAAAGCCAGCTACCATAGACCTAGCTTCCATCCCACTACGCCATTCACCGGCTCTGTGACTCGGGGCAAGTTACTTGACCTCTCAGGCCTCAGAGTCTTCATCTATAGAGGGAGAAAGTGATCCCTACCCAACACAGGAGCTTTGAAAGAATTAAGTGACAGAAAGTGACAAACGGACTAGCACTTACCAGGGGCTTTAATTATCACCATGATACCAGCAGATTACTACTGTACTTGAGGCCTCCTAAGGCACACAGAAAATAACTCATTCATCTAAATCTATTTTACTGAGCACCCACCTGGCACTTCGCTGGGTGGAAATGATGTGCAAACAGAAGGGACCAGTTACAGCATGTGGTGACAAACTGAACACAGGGAAAGAGGACAGAGGAGCCAGGGAGCACCCCTGAGTTCTGGGCTTAAGACACTGCTGGTGCCTTCAGGGAAGGGATGTAGAGACACTGCAGGAGTAATGAGGGGTTCCAATTTCGACTCAGCATGGTCAATCAAACAGCTACGGGTTTTGGCACAGTAGCTCAAGATTTTAACTCAGGTGGAAGGTGGAGGGTGGGAACAGAGTATAACTGAAGCCAGGGGAACAGGGAGGGACCCGGAGGTGAGGAAAAGGGAGGAGAGGAGAGGGAGGGAGGCAAGAGGCAGTGACAAACTCCAAAGACAGACAGCAGAGAACAGATACTCCATGAAGAGAAGGAACTAAAGCCAGAGTGAAAGGCAAGTCCAAGGAGATGACATCACAGGAGCCAAAAAGAGGTAGAGGCTCAGGACTACAGGGCAAGAGAGTTAGTACAATACAGTCTGGGGCATATCCATTAGGTTTATGAGGAAGAGTCACCAACAAACTCAGTGAGAACCATCTCTATGTCACATGGGAGATAAAAGCAGATCAGAGTGGGACCAACCCCCCACACAGCAGAAATGGGGCTGGGGGTGGGTCTGAGAACACTCTTTACCCTGCTTAAATGCTTATGGAAGAATCCTAGAGGAAAAGACAGGCTGAGACTACAAGACAGAAAAGACTACAGACAGTACAAAGTCCAAGAAGAAATGAAGGCAGGACCTCCATGTATGTAGTGAATGCATACATTGCTACAAATCTGTCCTGTCCTCTGGAACTTTCCATGCCCTGGGAAGTAGACAAATGTATTATTTTGCAGATGAGGAAACTAAGGCTCAGAAGAACTATATAACTTGCCCTGGTCAGAGTAACACAGACGGAATAGGAACTAGATGACCCCACAGTTCGTGTTTCTCTTGCTTCCCAAAGCTGCTTCTAGAGAAATTATCACATGAATTTTTCTATTCAGTTTAATACAAGGACTGCCAGAGAAAAACCCAAGTGGAGGCTGAGAAGGCAAGCTCCCCAGGGACACTCACTTTCTGAAGCTCACGCATGGTTAGTCTTCTGAGGACAAACTGAGAAATACTCTCGGTGGCAGACATGATGGAGCTCTGGAGAAAAGCAGACACCTCATCTGTGGGGAAAAAGTGTTTCACTAAAATGACAAAAACAAGTTCTTTGGTTCAAAATACAGCCAACGTCCTGGAACAACTGGTTAGGCACAAGGGCAAGTCACTTACCAAAAGTCAATCCCAGTAACACAATTATCCTGCCTACTGTGGGGAAGTCTGTGACTCATCTTACAGGTTATCAGGGGTCCAGTTCTGGGCAGGATGGAAGAAGGACACAGTCCCTCACTGAGGACAATGATAAAGCCTGGACAGAATGCACATATGGGAAGGAAAGAAAGGGCAGCAGACAGATTTGGAAGGAAGCGACACTGGATGGCAGTGAGCTCACTGGCTCACTCTTCCTGGTTGCCGTGCAGACTGTAGGCAGACATGGGAGCAAGAACAAAGTGGCGGGGCCCACTGTGGTCAGAGGATGACACAGAGAGGCCTCCAGGGAGGCTGTGTGCAGGAGAACGGCCACAGGGCTGTGTGGGCTCCTGTGTGCGGCTCCTGTGGCAGCACTGACCTGAATCCCACAGACCAGGGCTGAGGAAACATATCCCACTGCCCACCTGCAGAAGGGTGGCCACACAAGATGCGTGGATGCATGCCGCCAGAGCACTGCAGGGATGTGACAGCAAAACTGAGTGAAACCAGCACCCACAAAAGCTAGTCAGAATGCAAGGCCAGAACGCCAGCAGGTCCACTGCCTGCTGAACAAAAACCCCAGTATTCTCCCCACAAGGCCTAAAGAAGACCCGGGGTCTCACACCACAGTCAAATAGCTAGAGTAAAATACAGAACCACTGGGCTAATGAAGAATCAGGAAAATCCCAAAAAGACAATCTTCAGACCACATCATGAGGAGTCATGGATAGCAGAGTGATAGAAATTGGACAATGACTTTAGAGAAGCTTTTATAAAAATGCTTCCACGAGCAATCAGAAACACACCTGAAGGAAAGGGAACAACAGACGCTCTCAGCAGATAAACAGAACATAGACAGAAAAACCAAACAGGCATCTGATAAGCAAGATGCAAACTTACTGAAATGAACGAGGGGAGACATAAATAGAGTCAATAAAGTTAAAAATAAATCGCTAAAAAATGCAATCTGAAAATCAAGAGAAAAATAATTGAAAAAAAAATGAACAGAGCTTCAGATCCATGTAGGATAATAACAAAGATCTAATACTAGTGCCATAAGAGACCCAAAAGGACAAGAGAAAGACTGCAAAGATGAAAGAGTATCTGAGTGAAAAAATGCATGAAAACTTTCCAAAATTTGGTAACAGATATAATTTCTCTCACTGCTGAGACAAAAATACCCGACACCCAAAGTTAAAGGGGGAAAGGTTCATTTGGCTTACAGACTGTAGAGGTTTCAGTCCATAATTAGCTGGCTCCAAGGCAGGGTGGCAGAGGGCTAACAGTTCATGGTGGCAAAAGAGAGCAAAAGCAACAAGGGAAGGAGGAAGGGACTCTCAGTGGCATCTTCTGCCCTTTTTATCTTATGCAGATTACTTTCCTCAGGTAGCACTCACACCAGCAATGCTAGTGCCTTTGAGTCTAGCATTGCACCATGAATCAATTCCAGAAAAAGCTCCACCTATGACTGCATGAGGCTTTGGGAGGGGACATCAAGACACAAGCCATAACACTATGCATTCAAGAAGCTTAGAGAATTCCAAAAAAGATAAGCTCCCAAAAATTCATGCCCAGACTCAGCATAACCAAACTGCTAAACACTGACGATGGAGACACAATTTTGAAAGCAGAGACAAATACAATACCAAGGAAGACTCAATTACTAGAGTTCTGATGGGAAACTTAGAAGGCCAGATACAAGCAGTAAGACAGGTCTACACAGTCTGGTAAAAAAAATAGGGTGAATATTAAAAAAAAAAAATTTTAATTAAAAAAAGACTGCCAATAGCATCCCTGAAATACTCCCCCTTGCTTTAAACACACTTATTCTATTATTCTTGCCACTTTCTGAAGCAGTTCTGGAAGTCCTCTTTTGTTTCTTTAGTTGTGCTATCATAGCTACTTGCATGTCCTGAATCCGCTCAAAACATTTCCCCTTCATGGTCATTTTGACACTGGGGAAGAGTCAGAAGTTGACGGTGCCAGATCCAGTGAGTAAACAGGATGAGTATGCACTATTACAGATTTACAAGCTGACCTTCCAGTGGATGGCAGGAGGCAGTAACACTCACTAAATTTGTGATCACACCTCATAAAGATACTCATGAAACAGGACTTACAGAACTGTTTCAGAGTAGCAGGAAAGATGGAGTAGGTGTATTTGAAATAAGAGGGAGTAATTTAAGGGGGATTAATGACAATATGTTGCTTACTATAATACATTTTAATGTAAACATTCATTGTATATTTTGATCATACCTTAGAAACTACTGATCCATCAAGCCAGAATTTTATATCTAGCTAAAGTATCCTTTAGATATGAAGGTGAAACAAAGACTTTCTCAGATGAAGGAAAACTAACAGAATTCACTGTCAACAAATGTGTTCGAGAAGAAATTCTAAAGGAAGAGTTTCAAACAAAAGGGCTATAAGCACCTAGGGAAATCTGGAACATCAAGAACAACAGGAAAGCAGAAGAGATCTGAGAACCCTGATAAATATGACAGGCTCTTTTCCTCTGGGCTCTTTAAAATGTTTGACAGCTGAAAACAAAGGTTATAATGTTGTCTAACAGGGTATGTTATCCATAAGAACAAGTAGAACATTTAACACCATGCCCCTGAAACACCCCTCTGCATTCCCAAAACTCTGCCAAGACAAAGGAACACTGCTAACTGGGCAAACTAGTGCTATCTGCAGAGCCTGCCCTCCTGCCTGTATACTATATAGGCTAAAAAGGCTAGTCATACAATGGAACAAGGTGAACCTATAATGTCACTGCTCTGTAGTTTAATCTATTCCCTGCCTTGGGTAACTGGGTGTGGAACAGAGCACTATGGAGTGTTGTAGTTCAGCCCACTGCCACTGGACACTCCTGTATTTCCTGGTGAATTCTCACCCAGTCCATCACCACTGGGCCTCCTGAGTGTTGCTGTTAAGTACTCAGCCCTCATGGGCATCTGCCAACTGGCACTGTTGAGGAGCATGTGCTCCTTGGGGACCTTCTGAGTAGTGCTGTGGGTCCCTGAGTAGTGCTTATGGTGGACCTTTCCTGTTACTAAGTATCAATTAATCCTGTTAGTATGCCCTAAGTAATTTGTGGGTCAAAAGGAAAATGAGTTGACATTTTGAATTGGAAATGCAACATATCAATATATGGATGAGTTCAATCCCTAGTACCAAAAAGAAAAATATACATATACATACACACACACACACACACACACACACACACACACATATTATATGGATGCAGTTAAAGCAGAGCTTAGAGGAAAATTCATGACATTAATGTTATTTTGGAAAGCAGGAGGGTCTACGGGTGCAGCTCAGTAGCACATGCACAAGGCCTTAGGTTCTATTCCCAGCATCACAAAAGAAATAAAATTGCACAGAAAACAAAAAAGGTCTAAAATAACTAGTCTCAGCTTCAACATTAACACAAAAAGGCAAAATAAATCTGTAAATCAAAAAGCAAGCGGAAAGAAGCAGAGTAGATATCAATGAAATTAAAAAGAAAAAACAATGAAACTAAAAGCTAGTTCTGTGAAAGGGTCAATAAAATAATAACTACTAGCGAGTCTTGAGAGAGAGGAAAAAGGACAAATTACCACTAGGAACACAAATGGAGATGTAACTACAAACACTGCAGGCATGAAAAGAATTAGAGAAACCTACAGACAGCTCTAGAAATGAAAGTGCCCCTATTCACAGATGACATGATTGTCTACCAAGAACATCCTAAAAAACCTATGAAAAAGCTCTAAGAACTAAGTCCTTTAACAAGGTCACAGGATACTCCATCAACATACAAAAGTCAATCAAATTTCTCTATACTAGCAACATACAGGAGAAAACTCAAGCTTAAAAATTCACAATAGCCTTTCCTCCAACAAAAATATGTGGATCTAAATCTAACAAAACCTATGTAAGATCTGTATGCTAAAAACTATAAAACTATGATGAAGAAATCAAAGACAACATACATAAGCGAAGACACATAATGTCCATGCAGTAAAAGCCCCAACACAATAAAGTGACTTTCTATAAAATAATCTACAGATTTAATCCAATTCTAGCAGAATTTTTTTTTTTGTAGATAGAAACAAGCTGACTATAAAATGTACAAGAGGAGGTAAAGAAATTAGATCTGTTGAAAAGTTTTGACTCAGAAGAATAAATTTGAAGCTGAATGTGGTAGCACACACTTGTAATCTCAGCACTCTGGGAGGCTGAGGCAGGAGGATCCTAAATTCAAGCCCAGTCTGGGTAATTTAGCAATGCAGAGAGACCCTGTCTCAAAATTTAAAAAGGGCTGGGGATGTAGCTCAGTGCAGAGGCCCTGGGTTCTATCCCCAGGACTGCAAATAAATAAAAAGACAGATAAATAGGAACCATACTTATGGATTTATAGTAACCAAGACAATGTGGCATTGGTGCAGAGATGAAGAGAACAGAGCAGACTCTAGAAACAGACTCACACATGTACAGCCAACTATCTGTGAACTGCTGAGGTGTCACTCACCTAACACTCAATCTCCCACTAAAAGTATACAGTCCGGTGGTTTCTGCCAGAGGCACCCATACATGCAGCTATCATCACAGCCAAATCAGAACATGTCATCACCACAAAGCTAAACTCCTGGGCTGGGGATTTAGCTCAGTGGTTCCTCTGCCTGCCTCACAAGTGCAAGGTCCTGAGTTTGATCCCTGGTACCAAAACAAAACAAACAAACACACAAAAGGCCAAACTCCCAATCATCACCCCTCCATTCTCACTTCCTTCCAGCTCTAAGTAATACTCCCTGTCTTTTAGGGTCTACAGCGAAAACCCTCTCCTGAAAGTCAACCCTCTTAGGCCAGGGCAGCGAAGCTGTACACACACTCTCCTCAGCACCTTCCTCCCTCTTGGAATTGTTCCCCTGCCCTTGAGCCCCAGCCTCCCAGCTGTCCCTCAGCCAATTCTCAGCAGGGCTATTCCAGAGAGGCCCCTCCTCCTAGAGACCCCTGCTGTGTGTCACAGGTCCTTCCTTCAACTTTCAACCCTCACAGTCCACCGTTGAGCACACACCACATGCACACAGCTACCTGCAAAGACCATTTTGCATCATCCTATAAAGATGAATGTGCACACACCCTAGGAAGTCCCATTTCGTTCCCAAGGTGGGCACCTACCTTGGAGTGGCTCAGACACGAGGCACCGGAAAACAGGAGAATGTGTCCACAGCAGCACCGTACACAACAGGAATAAACCAAACACGAGCCAACATCCAGCATAAAGGGACCCAACACACTGTGCTGTGGTTGGTCAATGGAACATCCCACAACATGAAAGAATCTTAGCAGTATGTGGAGTGGATTTCTTTCAGGAAGACATATTTTTCTAAAGCCCGAAAGCAAGAAAACTAAATAACACATTGCTCGGTTCATCATGAATGGTCAACTGATCTGGTGTCAAGAATGCAAAGTGGGAAGGCGAGTGTCCTCTATAGCTGGCATTGGGAAACTGGATATGCACACGCAGAAAACAAAACTGAACACACAAAAACCAACTCGAAATGGATTAGAAGCTTAAGTGTAAGCATGAAACCATCAAGCTGCTAGAACACATCAGAAAAAAGCTTAACTTTGGTCTTGGCAATGACTGTTTTGGATATGACAACAAAAGTAAAAACAAGTGAGATTTTATCAAACCAGAAAGCCACTGCGCAGAAAAGGAAACAACAGAATGAAAAGTCACACCACACCACAGAATGGTAGGAGATGGCCAAAAGATTCAAGGTTTCAGTTCCATAAATTAAGTAAGTTCTGGAGATCTACTCTTGGCAGACGGCCTGATTGCTACTGTGTTATACACTTAAAATGTGAAAATGGCAGATCTTCACAAAGTGCTCTTCTCACAAGTAGTAACAGTAACAGAAATGACAGGAAATTTTGGGAGGTGATGGATATGCCACGGCCTTGACAGTGCTGACAGTTTCATAGGATAGACTTATCCCCAAACTCATCAAGTTGTACACATTTAGTACGCACAGCTTTTTAATGTGTCAATCATACTTCAATAAAGTACTTTAAAAAAATCCATGCTGTTAAAGAATATCTATATATGTGGCAAAAACCCTTTTCTAAAATTCATGAAAATGAAAAAGATGAAATCAACAAGGAAGCAACAAGAGGGACTGAGGAGTAGCAGGTAGGTAAGTTTCTAGGTGGGGGAGTTCGAGTACAGGTGTGTCATCAGTTTGCATCAGAACACAGGAAACCACCACACCTCCTTCTGTTTATATCAAATAATATAATTTTTAATATGTTCACAACAGGGCCATGCATGCATGACTGTCCCATGCCACCCATGCCCCATGCATGACTGTGCCATGCCGCCAGTAGGAGAGTCATGCGTGAACCACTGATTATACAAGCCAGCAGGAACATGTTAAAGGCACTTGTGACCCAGTCCTGCACTGCTGAGTATGGTAATATTCAGGACATGTCAAATTAAGTCCAAACTAATGCTCTTAAGGGCTGAAAATCTTACAAGTTACCATCATGGTCACGGCACATGGTTCTGCACTCATTATAAAAAATATGAAAATCTGACACTAGATTTAGTATTTCATAAACACATTAAAGTCTAACCTCATCAGTATTATTCTCAGATTTATCCAAGTATCAATGCTATAGGATCTTAAATAGCAAATTTCTAGAGTTCTAGAAATAAAACTGGTCCGAAAGGACAGGGAACTGAGGTTCACCTATCAGTATTCACCTCTCTGACATTCAGTGTTTCCCACTACTTTGCTACATATATCTTAATTTAAGGAGTAAAGAACCCCTCAGTGCTCCTATCTACTACCACTGTGTTTTCCATATATTTTCTACTCAAAAGGTTCACAGAGATGAACATATTTAAAAGTAAGTATAAAATTACTGCCTTTGCCATGCTTTAGTATATAACTTCCTATAACATCTAGCACTGTGGTAATCAGAAACAGATCCTGCATAAACAGACAGGAAAAATGACTGTTTTCAACAGTCTGGAAATCAATCAACAAGCAAAAATTTTTTTAAAAAGGCAAATGAAGCTGCATTCTAAAATCAATAGTAACCAACACATGTAAAACACTGGCATGTCAACTCCACTCTATCCCCAACACTACTAGGAGACATCTAATAAATATGCTGGAAGAACTTCTCTTTGATGTAAAAAGGTCAGGAATTTCCTCTCATTCTGCAATACCAGCCACATACCAAGCAAGAAACCCACAGAGACTACACATCCTCACCATCTTGGGGGCTGGAACCTTTCAACATGCAAGTGTGCAACAATTTCACCAGCAACTGCAGGCTTCTGTCAGTCCTCAGCAAAGGCACGTAGGCATTGGTACCCAGCTTCACCAGGGCATCCAGAAGGGGGTCTAAGAATATCCTCAACACATTCTGTGTTCTCCGCTTTTCACTAGATATTAAAAGACATGCCCAAATCAACCATCTCAAAAGCATAAGGAAATTACTGCCCATCTGTAATCTGTGGAATTGGTTAGCTACTGAAATCAATTAGACAAAGTTATTCTTAGGGATGACTCAAACACCCAGCACCTACGGAGATGGGTCTCTTGGTCTGTGCTTTTTCTTAAGTGTAATGATCGTCTAGGGAAGAAAGCACAGGAAGAACCCAGTGGGAAGGAAAGGCCTACACCCATCTCACTTACAAGTCCAACTGTGGAGACCCTGCCTCTGTAATACAGAAAAACAACACAAAACAGAGATAAACTAGATAACCTAGGTAAGCTAGTCAAGGAAATGAAATGAAACATGCTTAAAAAAAAAAACCTAAAGCTTTATGTAAAACTGCTATCATCAACTTGAGTACTAAAACTCCATCTAAAAAAAGAGATCTGATGTAAATAAAATTAACTGACAGGCAAACATATACCAATCCACCTACTGAAGCGATTTATCACAGTAACTATAATCTGACAAGAATTGATCTGCTCACATTCTCAAAATGTAATAAGGTTGGTTTATCTTTAGTATCATGTTTTAAAAATTACGTATTTTCAAAGGAGTCAAATTCAGTGTCTTTATTCTTATGCTAGGATTTTACCATCCATTCTTCTAACACAGATATAAAACCAACAATTATTATATACAGTGCTTTTTTAACTTTCTCTAATATAATATTAAATTGTTGTTTAGCATTTAATTTACCAGCCTAAAAGGACTAATATGCTCTATTCCTATTTATTTGTTAATTTTAAGCATTTTAGTGTATTTTCAACGTTCAACTTCTACCCTTTAATACTTTGTGATCAACTGTATATATAATTGAAAAGTCTAAATATATATCATAAATCTGCTAGTCTTTCTTTCCAATGAAAAAAATAATTACCTGTACTCAATCTTCATTCCTTCCACATCCACAGCTAGCAAGATCATCAGAGCAGTCAGCCTGGCCTCAGACCAGTCAGGCATAAAACAGCTTTCTCCTGCTTGAATAATACAAGGTAAGGTTTGCAGAGCAGTAACAAAGTCTTTCAAAGGTGACACTTTAAAAACAGCCAAGCGATTATCCTTACCAAAATTACACTATTAGAAAAATAAAGCTCCTTACTACACATCCACATGTAAATTTTAACAAAAACAAAGCACTACTACTGGCCTGACCTTGGGCTGCACACCAGTGGTCCCTGTGGTCAAGGAATCCAAAGTGTAGAATGAAAGAAAGGCATCAATCAAAGCATCGGCAATGAAATATAGAACTGCAATATACTGAGGCCCTGCGAGAGGGCCACAGGAGTGCACATGAAGGGGCGTGCCTTGCGCAGACATGACAACTAGGCTGAGTGTGACAAATGAGAAGGGATGAGTTGGGTGAAGGGAGATCAGAGCTTCCCAGGATGGAAAGAAGTATGTGGAAGGTCCTGGCAGGAGAGAGCTTGAGTATTCCAAGAAACAGAAGGATGACCCTGTGCATCTAAGTGAGAGGGAAGAGCAGAAAGTGAGGGGACAGACACGGGTGAGGAGAGACCAGGACACTAGTTAGGCCACCAGACACTTCTCTGTCTAAAAGGCAACAGGAAGTCAGCGATATTGAATGCATATGAAGGAGGGAGGGGAGATGTATAAGCTTGAAGCCAATATTTTGAAAAGTTTCCCCAGCAACAATGTGGACAAGAGACTGCAGGAGAAGCAAGAACAGATGCAAGGTAAGCAAGCAAGAGGAAATTTTAACATTGCAGCTGGGTTTTCCCAGGAAAACTCAGAACCAGAAAAAGGATGGGACAATAAGGACACTATGGCTGGGTGCCTTGGATGTGCTGGATCTATAGTCTAGGCTGACTGTAGTAGGGATGTTCATTTATTTCAACAGGTGTAATAAAAGCATCTTCCAAGTAACAGCACAGAAAATGTACTAGACAACAGAGAGAATAAAACACAAAAGAGAAATATTCCAAGGACAAATGCATGCATTTTGGAAGGATAATTATCTGATCATTTAAGACCTATTCCACGATCAGATTAGAGCAATCAGTAGATAAAAATGAGTTGATCTGAGACAAAGCTAGGAAATTCAAGACACATTAAATTAAAAGATGCAATTTTCTCAAATTATACTAATGACTTTAATGAAGAGGAAGCATTCGAAATGTAAAAGACATTCTCACTAATGAATCTGCTAAGAACTCACCCCTCATACAGTCTTACACATTTCCCCAAAGGGAACTCTGCAAAGGTGGTGTTAGGGACTAAGAGTGCAGCTCAGTGATCAAGCATCTGCCTAGCATATACCAGGCCCTGAGTTCGATCCCCAGCACCACAAAACAAACAACAAACACGGTCTTTGCTAACAATGCGAAGAAAAGAAAAATTAACAAAATCATCCCTCTGAAATTGTTTCCCTAAAATTATTTCTCATAATCAGTTCACACTAAACATAATGGTTTAAAAACAAAGATGAACCACTAACTTCCACATATTTCTATGACAGGGCTTCCAAAAACACATCTGTAAAATTTAGCTCATAAGGACTGAGCAGTTGTATAAAAAATTAATAAATTTACTTGTGTTCAGTTCCCATTCTGGCAACTTATCAGCTTAAAAAAATCTTAGAACAGACAAAGTACAAGTTGGGAGATAGTATTTTTTACTTTCTACTACTCACACTCTTTGACTGAAATAAAAGTTTGACAGTAAATCACACATTTGTGTAAGCTTAAATCTCAACCTCAAGTCTAGTGAAAACCTCTTTGAAATATTTTGGTCCCATTAATCTATAAAAACAACTGCAGACTTACTTTCCCAAGCAGGTGATGTAATGTACTCTTGGACCAGGTTCTTCACATAAGCGTTCAGAGATGTTTCAGGAAGTCCATCAGGGCCACAGATAGAGGATGGCCTGAAAGACCTCTCATTGACACACAGCCAGTCACAGAGCTGGAAAAGAAAACAAGCAAAGGATTACTTTATTTTAAAAACTGAATGGAACAGTTTCTAATCTTCCTAAGCCAGTTTCTTTTTTCCACAATAAACTGAATTTAAATCACTAAACAGCTCCTCTGTAATCTCAGGGGACCACTGTTGACTGAAATGTTATATTTGACTATATATACATTCATACATATGTTTTGCTGTACGTACTATCTATGGAACTCAGTCATGACAATAAACATTTTATTGCTTTGTTGTATTTCTAAAGGACCTAATATAAGATGCACAGTTTGATGAGGTATTCTAAAGAACATTTCTATGCAAAATAACATTATATAAAGCAAATTATATATAAATTCTTTCCCACTTTCTATGCTAAAATAAGAACTTTTATGTTTTTGAGAGAATGTAGAATTTAAAATATGTTATAATTAAAGTTCCTATTCTCAAAAGCTTTTGTACCATATGTACCTATTAAAATATATTAATAGGGAAATATTATCTCAGTCTTCTTCCATTACATCTCTTAAAAGACTGGTAAAAATAAAAGTCACATAACACCACTAACACTTGATCAGCTGTAACTGTCAATTTAAATATAAATCTAAATTGTGATTTAATATGTTCATAATTCTTTTTACAATGGTTCTCATAATGTGCAATTCAATATATGAGTTTAAATGAGTAATTATGAAATGAGTCTTTCTAAAAGAATTTTTTTTAAATTTCTACATTAAGGGCTGGGGATTTAGCTCAGTGGTTTCGCTGCCTGCTGCACAAACGCAAGGACCCGAGTTCGATCCCTGGTACCCAAAAAAAAAAAAAATTTCTACATTAGTTAAGGTCATCTGAAATTACCATATAAAGACTAGATTTTTTTGTTTTGTTTTGTTTTTGGTACTGGGGATTGAACTCAGGACCTTGTGCTTGAGAGGCAGGCGGCAGAACCACCGAGCTAAATCCCCAGCCCCAAGACTGGATATTTACATCATAACATTACATAACAAAAGTTATGGGACACAGCCAAATCTACACTAAGATATAAAAGCATATATGCCACGCTTTCGATGTGGTTCAAACATGTACCGCAAAGGTTCATGTTCTGGAAGCATGTTCCCCAGTGTGGTGGTGGTTTGTTTTTTGTGGCACTGAGGATCAAACTCGGGGCACTCTACTACTGAGCTACACCTCCAGCCCTTTTTATTTTTTGAGATGAGGTCTCCCAATTTGTCCAGGCTGGCCTCGAACTTGGAATCCTCCTGCCTCAGCCTCCTGAAGTGCTGGAATTACAGGTATCTAATGCAGCACCAGGTTTCTGGTGATGTTATAGTAATGGAACCTTTAAGAGCTGAGGCCTAGTGAAAAGTAGACAGGTCAAGGTGCTCCACTCTTGAAAGGGACTAAAGCTAGTCTCACAGAATGAGTTAGTTCTCACGAAAGCAGGCTGCTACTGAGCCGTGCCACCACAAAGCTAGGCTTATCTGCACAGGTCAGTTCCCTTTTCATTTCTTCACCATGTTGTGATATATCCAGGGGCACCCACCAGGACACTCTTGCCACGCTGTTTAGACCTTCCAGCCAAGAGAATCATAAACCAAATAAACGTCTTTCTAAATAAGTATTCAGCCTCAGGTATTTTGTTATAGCAACACCAAACAGACTAATACAAGTGTTGCCATTATTAAATGAAGAGAAAGAATTAAAGTTAGGGATCAATTATAAACCATGAGACCAGAAGGTTCCTGAGGACAGCCACCATGTTTCTCTTGCTGTCCGCTGTACTCCCAATGCTTGGCACAGTGCATGATGTGTGGAAGGTGTACAGTAAACTTTTCTCAATACATGAATTCTAGATAGGATTACAAAAAAGTGAAACAAGCTAAAGGGAAGTAAAATAAAGAGAAAGGATGGAAGTAGACATGAACGAATTATAGCACTAAGAAATTAAGGGGAACAAGTAAAGAAATCCAAAAGTTAGATGCCTAAAAACAAATAACAAAACAGGCAAATGTGAAAACCAAAGGAAAAAGACAATAGCTGGAGTGGATGTTTACCCTTACTATGGGTTGGAAACAGTTTGAGGCATTTTTACATGCATTTCCTCATTTAAGCCTCATAGTTTATACAATATGGCAAGATAAATTCCAGATGGATTAAAACTCTCAATTTAAAAACTACACCTATCAGCTGCAATAACTATGTCTCATACAGATAGCTGAACAAATAAACACTGAATATCTGACCAAACAAAATGCAGAAAACCAATTTTTAAAATCACATTTACTAGCCACCTGGTCAAATTTAAACACTAAATATTTAAAATAAACAAGTTATGGTTAGTTTATTTAGGTGTGATTTGGGTCTACTCTTTAGTACTTATCATTTAGCAGTCCATATTTCAGGCAGAAATAACGTCTGATGGGAAAAGATTCAAGATAGCTGGGGCAGGAAGAGGAGCCAAGGAGGCTCAGGGCAAGGCAGACTGGCCACAAACAGTGACAGCAGATGCTGGGTGACTGGTACACAGGAGGGTATTAAAACACTTCTGTTTTAGAATTTTTAAATTTTTCATAAGAAAAAGCTAAAGGAAAAAAAGTGAACTATAAAAGTCAAAACTAAAACTAGATAGGGCCAGGAATGTAGCTCAGTGGTTCTGCCACCTGCCTTGCAAGCACAAGGTCCCAAGTTCAATCCCTGGTACCAAAATAAAAAAACAAAAAAAACGAAAACTAGATGAAAGATGCCCAAACTTAGTATTATCTCTCTCTCTCTCTCCCTACCTACCTACGTACTCTGAGACCTTTCTCATCTGCCACTTTCATAGCAAACATTACCCACACTGTGACATCTTAGTGACCTTACAGTAGGCTGCACAATAGACCTCAAAGATGTCCAGGTCCTCATCCCTGGAGCCTGTGAATGTCACCTGACGTGGCACAAGGGTCTCTGTGCATCACTACATGAAGGATTATGAGGTGGACAAAAACGCCCCAACGTAACTCAAGTGGCCCAGAGTAAGCAAAAGAGTTTGACTATGAAACAGAAGAGAAGATGGTAATACGAAGATAAAGCAGAGACTGGAAGATGCTAGGCAGCTGGTTTTGAAGAGGAAGGATAAGGAAGAAATGTCAGGCATACAGCTCCAGAAACTAGAGAAGGCGAGAAATCAGTTCTCCCCTAGAAGCTCCCAAGAGGTCAAACCCTGCAGAATCTTGGTTTCAGCCCATGAAACAAACCAATTGCAGATTCCTGACCTCCAGAAGTGAACAAGAACAAAGCCATGTTATTTTAAGCCACTGAGTCTGTCATAAGAAAACTAAAACAATTCCTATGGAGAGAAACTTGGCAGTACCCTCCACAATGGCACATATGCACTTAATCTGTGACCAGTAATCTTGGAACCTATTCTCTAGATATAACTGCAAAAGTAATAAATAAAATGATTATTTATCCTGGCATTGTTTTGTTAAGGCATAGATTGAATCAACTCAGGAATACAGCAATAGGGGAAGCTCAATGAACAATGGTACAACTAATGGAATGCTATGCCAGTATACAAAAAAGAATAAGAAACGATGTCATGGCATATGTCTATATGCCTGTTATCCCAGCACCGAGGGAAGCTGAGACAGGAGGATCATGAGTTCAAGCCCATCCCGGAACTCAACGAGGATCTGCCTCACAAAGAAAGATAGATGTGTGTGTGAGAGAGAGAGAGAGAGAGAGAGAGAGAGAGAGAGAGAGAGAGAGAGAGGGAGAGGTAGAGACAGAGGAGGGTTAGGGATACAGCTTAGTGATAGAGCGGCCCTGGGTTTGAACCCCAGTGCCATAAAAAAAGTCTCTGCCTACTGATAAAAAGAAATCACTAAGATATACTTTTAATTCAAATTTGAAAAGTGGTAAGCAGGGCCTACATTGAAAGCTATCATTTGTTTAGGGGCACGGCAGGGTAGAAGAACAGGGCAAGGAAATCAGATGCTTCTGACTAGTAGTTTCAATCTCTAAACCATGGCAAATCATTTCCCATTCAGGTAAGCAAAGCCAGATTTTTTAAAGAAAAAAATTCTGCAACATTTATAACATCTTACCAATACCTTTAATATAAAGATATTCACAAGGCCTGCAGGCCAGAGACATCAAGGAAGCATCCCACCAAGGGAGCTGGGCAGAGCCTGCTGCGCATGCAGGAGAGAAAAGACAGTTGATAGACAATAGGGTGCAAGATGACTCAGGTGCAGTCAGGAAGAATTAAGAATCACTGCAGTGGCACACACCTCTAATCCCAGCATTCTGGAAGGCTGAGGCAGGAAAATCTCAAGTTCAAGCCCAGCCTGGTCAATTCAGCAAAGTAAAAAATAAAAAAGGGCTAGGGCTAGGGTTGTAGGTCAGTGTGAAGGCCATGAGTTAGTACCTTAGTACCACCAAAAAAAGAAAAAAAAAATTTACAGTAATGTCAGATGTCAGGCCCGGCAGCTGGATAGAAGAAAGTGCCATTAACTGACAGAAAACAAGACAAAGAGGAGGTTTGCGGACTTCCTGTCTTTGAGACTAAGGTGGCATTATTCCTAGCTCACGTGGGCCAGACTCGGGATCTTCCCCCAGCACTGTCCCGCTCAGAAGGCCCACCTCTCCAGCTAGGCTCCTCCCCATCGGCCACAGAATCCAGGCAGCATGAGGTTTAGGTCACTCAAAGCAAATGCACAGTATTTCAAAATCTCTGGCGGGAGGTCACAAAGAAGTTGTTAACATTCTACATAGGAGTAAGCAATGAGCTCAATTAGAACACAATTCTGAAAACAATAAGATTTCAAAGAATTCTTTTCCAGCCTCACCTCTGTCCACAAGGTGGTTCCTCGTCCTAAAGATTCTTCTTGTTTCAGAGAGATGAGAAAACTGGAGACATCAGACAGTGATACTTTCTCCTAAGCAGGGAGTTTGAAAACATTACTCAGTTTAAAATTACCAACTGAATAAAATAACACCCCATGGAAGCAAACAAGTACACTAGTTAAAGTAGACTATTAGTAGTTAAATCTAATAAAATATTCATCCACTTTTAAAATGAAGACATTGATTGTAATCATTCACTACATAAAAGGAAATATTATTTCACAATATATTTTCTTTTAAAATGAGGTGACTATCTTAGAGAAAAGACAGTTACAATCTTTATAAAAAGATATTCTATGAGAAGAAATTAGTGCCAATCAAAAAGTGAGTCCAGGGCCGGGGATTTAGCTCAGTGGTTTCACCACCTGCCGAGCAAGCACAAGGACCCGAGTTCAATCCCCAGTACCAAAAAAAAAAAGTCTTTTCAAAGTGACAAAAATAACCTCCTGACCAAAGAAAACCACCAAAGTCTCATGGGCTGCAGACTGCATGTCCTGAATTAAGTCTATGCTCTGGGCAGGGTCAACAGCCTGCTTGTAAAAAAGTTCCCCTGGAATATGATTTTGCCTGTTTATTCATAAACTGTTATGGTTTAAATACAAAATGACCCCCAAAGACTCATGTATTGAGGACTTAATCCCCAATGAAGCAAAACCCAGAGGTGAGACCTAGAGAGGTAAGTGAATCATTAGGGCTCTAACTTCATTAATTTGAAGGAAGTATATTATAATTTAATAGCATTACTGAGAGGTGATGGAAACAAGAAGTGAGGCCCACTTAAAGGGAGGAGGTCATGGGTGAGTGACCTTGGAGACTATATCTGCTCTCAGTTTCTTTCTCTCTGGCTTTTCTTTTCTTAAGGAATGCAACTTTGCTCCACTATACCATAACGATGTTCTGTCTCACCTCAGGTCCACAGCAATGAAGCTAGCTGACCATGGACTGAAGCCTCTAAAGCCATGAGCCAAAATAAGTTTTTCCTCCTTTACACTGTTTGTCATGTATTTTGTCCTTGCAATAGAAAGCTAATTAACACACAGCCTATGGTTGCTTTGGCCTCTAAAAGAAGAATTAAGAAGCTGCATCAGAGACCATTTAACCTGAAAAGCCTACACCAGTGGTGGAAAAACCTATGGTATGCGTGCCATAGCAGGCTATTTGTATCACTGAAAGCTCTAAAAGGTTCACCATCACTGCCCTAGACAATATTTATTATCCACACTTCACAGTCTGCTGACCCTTGCTCTAGGCAAGAGTATTTGTTGGAGTTCTGTGTCTTGGAAGACAAGAGAAAGCATAGTGGAGACCAGGCATGATGGAGGAGACCAGATAAGAATCATCCAGAACAGGCTAGCTACTTAGCAGCAAGCTATGACAATGCATGTGAAATGCTGCTACCAGGGAAACTGATAGAGACTCAGTGCCCAGGGTTCTGCAGCTTCTGCCTTATCCATGGTGCCCTTTTTGACTCCAGGAGGAAGCAAGTGGTCCACATAAGCCATATCCTTTCTGCACATCTGGCACACAATGGCCACACCTATCATTGAGAACACTGTAAATCTTAAACCCAAGTTCCTCAATGCTGCTGACCTAGGACCAACCTGACCTGCAGGCCCATCTGATGGTGAATCATAAGTCAGCTATTCAGTTTTGCAACCTACTGGCTAAGACAACCTTGTAAATGGGAATATCAAAAATAAACTCACCACATCCACCAAATGCATCGCTGTTTGAAGCAGGAAGCACTGTGCTGCTCCTCTCAATAGAATGTGATGTGTAATCATAGTACACTGGATGACATCCCTGACATCACAACACAGAAACACATTTCCATAGGCCCAGGGAAATTCTGATAACCTGTAACTACTGACTTATAACATCTGCAGCTTCTAATGTAGAAAGTTACTGATAGCTGGGTTTCAAAGCCATTATTTTCCATCACGGCCTCTGACAGAGTTCAATTTTAATATGAAATGACCTCTTCTAAAAATAAAGACTATGAACAAAGATGCTTTTAAGAGTAAGAATTTCACATTTTTTGAATACTTTCTATTATTATCATTTGATATTTTACCTTCAGTTTTCTACTTAGCAATATAATAAAAAAATGTAGTGGTCTTAAATCATCTATCAGAGTACTTATTTAACTTAGTAACTCAACACAATAAATTCCATTAGATGAATAAAAGTTTTTAATTTTATTTTTTCTTGCTGTATAAAAGCTTTTTCTTTTCCCCTGGTACCAGGGATTGAACTCAGGACCTTGAGCTTGCAAAGCAGGCAAGGCACCACTGAGCTAAATCCCCGGTCCTATTTTATTTTTTCTTACATAAGATTATATTAACTAAAACCATGCACCAGTGATGAAAGAAGGAAAAACAAGCTATATTGATAAAAAAAAACCATGGCAAATAACCATACGTGACTATATACAGAGTATATTACCTGAGAGCAAGAAGCCCTTCTAGACCCAGGGCTTTACATCTTGGGATATTTGCCAATGCCTTAGACAGGAACAAAATGGGAACAGCACACCAATGTCTACTCCTCATCTTCTGAAGAAACTTTAATAGGAAATTACCTGGAAGAAATAGTTTTAAAATATTATCATTGTCAATAAGCACAAAGATACTCAACATTGTTAGTTTTAAGGAAATACAAATCAAAACCCCAATGAGAAGATGGGATTTAGCTCAGTGGCACCGCGCCTGCCTCGCAAGTGCAAGGTCCTGTATTCAATCCCTGGTACCTGGGGAAAAAAACCCCAAAGAGATACCATATCACACCCACTGTAAAGATTATAATCAAGCCAAGGGTTGGGGAGGCTTTATAGTAACTGGAACAATCACACACTGCTGGTGGAAGTGTACAATGGTGCAGTCACTATGGAAAATAGCACGGTAGCTCAACCAGAATTAAACAGAATTACCATATGACCCAGCAATTTCACTTCTAAGTATGTATCCAAGAGAACTGTATATGCTCATATAAAAACCTTTCAATGAATACTCCTCATAGCATTATTTATAATAATCAAAAGTGGAAACAATACAAATGTCTGCCAACTGATGAATGAATAAAATGTGGATTATTTACACAATAAAATATTATTCAGCCACAAAAAGGAAATATTAACACATGCTACAATATGGATGAACCTTAAAATACTGTGCTAAAAAGCTAGCCCTAAAAGGCTACATATTGTTCAACTCCATATATGTATGTGAAATGTTTTGGATACATAAATCTATGGAAACAGAAGGTGGATTGGGGCTGTTAGGAGCTAGGCAGGTAAGAACAAGGAGTGACTGTTCAGGGGCAAGGAGCTCTTTTTGGGGGTGATGAAAATATTCTGAAATCAGATAGTGGTGATGGTAGTAGAACTTTGTGAATATATTAAACAACACTGAATCAAACAGCCTAAAAGGGTAGTTTTCACAGGATATAAATTAAATCTCAATACAGCTGTTGTTAAAAAAAAGAATATTATCTCAATTTCATTCCTATCTAGTAAGATAACTATTCCACTATATTGTGGCGATTCTGATAATCATGCAGCTATAGTTTTTGAAAGTTGTAACTGTTAGAAGCCATACTTCAGAGCTGCTAAGGAAAAACGGGACTGGAAATATTGATGCAAACCTTTCTCATAGGTCATTTCTGGCCTACCGTGGACTCATTACCATGGCTGGCATGACACTATATTCTCAGATACAAAAGGACAAGGCCTCCTTCTGTCTCCTCTGCTAAACTCTGATTTGTCAAGGACCTTGGATCCTGCAGCAAGTGATAACTGTTTTCTCAGCTCATGTAGAATGACTTTAAGAAATCCTCAGAAGTTCCTAGAAGAGTACTGTATTTTGTACCTCCCAAAGAAACAAACAAAAAACCAGAAACACTTAATATACATTCACTAGAGACTGGTGGGTAGCCCTAACTTCACTTTCTTCTAATCAAGCTCAATAAATCCCTCCATGCGCCTAAGCCCTCACTCAGGACCTGAGAAGGATGCCCAGGGCCACACTTTCCCTCACACTCAGCTGACATACTCACCAAGTGTATGTTATGCCTGGCCCTGAGCCACAACCATTCGGCATACAGATCCTTTGTCTCATGGCCCGAGTTTATCCCCAGGTTGCTGGAGGCCAGAAACTTAAAACTAAATATCAGCTCTTAACGGTTGAACTACCTTCTCCATTAACTAATTTTCAAAAGGAAGCAAAGCAAATCATCTTTCTGTAAGTTTAAAGTCATGATATACAGATTGTATTTTTTTTCTTGACTTTTAGATAGGTACATATTACCACCCTACTTGTAGATTAAATACAAATGAAAGAAATAGTTCAGACACAGGGTGACTTTATCAGTCAAAAAGGCAGAAGTGGAAAAAGGTCTGAGAGAGAAGCAGAAGTCCCTCTGATGCTCAGCAGACAAAATCACACTGTCCCTGTGCTCTGCTTCTGAACTCATCTCATGGGAAAGAATAACAAACCACCCATCTAGGAGGTTTATGTATGTATTTGTCTTTCTAATCTAAGGCAATTTATCTGTAAAAGAAGTGCCACATGGACATTCAGTTTACCAGTTTTTCCTAAAACCAGGCTATTCCTTTGTTCAATCTAGTTTCCTAGTTCTTTTTTTTTTTGGTACTGGGGATTGAACTTAGGACCTTGCACTTTTGAGGCAGGTGGTGGTACCACTGAGCTAAAGGCTAGGCCCTAGTTTCCTAGTTCTTGAAGAGCAGAGAAGTAGAACTGGTGGCTAGTGGCAGATCCTCCACCACCATGCCAGGATGCTCCTGCACCAAGGCAATGGCACAGGCCAGTGCAAAGCCTGCTCATGATGGACACTTGCATGATTCAAACACGAACAGGTCCTGGGAAACATTGATTATAATCACACAACAGAGCTTATACCAATATGATAAAAGTTTTAAAAAAGTATTAAACTTTAAAAATAAACTCACTGATACATACTCTTTATTTCTTCTGGAAGGAGAGAAACATAAGTGACTAAAAACTTCTGTAATTTTAATCCCAATGGAGAACCACTTCCTACAAGCTGGCCTGTGGGCCTATAGACAAAAAAGAGAGAAAAACAAATATTTAGGATCTATTTACAAGTGAGAATACTAAAACTAAATAGACTACTGCCCCAAACTCTTCCAGCAATCTTTCTAAATCTGCATTTTATTTTCCAGTAAAATTCTGAGACTCTTTCTGGTTACAGAAACATCAGCACTTTCTAGAAAAAGGAACTTGAGTCACAACCTCCTTTCCCCTTATGACACTTTTCCTTCACTCTTAAGTCACAAATAAATTTTGCTAAATACAGTGGTACCTCAGTTCATGAACTTAATTCTTTCTATGATTCTGGTCTCAAACCAAATGGGACAAGAACTGAATCAAATTTGCCCATAAGGTCAACATTGAACCTAACCACTGAATTTGATTTGGTTCTCATCCAATTTGGTTTGCGATCAGAATCGTGAAAAGAATTAAGTTCATGAACCGATGTACCACTGTAGTACATTTTTTAAGAACTCCATAACATGGTAATCTTGAATTATATTTTATTGTTTCCAACTTATAATTCAATGACTTTACAACTTAGGCCTACAATAAAAGAAATAATATTCACTGCAAAAACATATATTAGTAGTAAATTACTTTTGCAATAGCATCTAATTATTACCATCTACTAAAGTCATGTTTTTCTCCTCTGTGCTTTTCCCAGGAACATTATCTGCTAATTGAACACATGAGAATGCTGGGAAACTATAGCACCCTATAATAAACATGCGTGTCAACTCTTCAGAAAGCACCAAGACTCGGTGACCTCACTGTTCTCCAGCTGTCTCCCACTATACAACAGCCGTGACTTATTTGAAGACTACAAATCCTTGGCAAATCAAGTATCTCTGTGCTCTTCAGATATTTATTAAGTAGACATTAAGAATTAACATTTGTACAACTTGGCACAGATAATCAAACATTTTAAAATAAATTGGTGGTAATGGGTGGGGGGGAATCCTTAGAAGCTTTCCAAAGAGAAGATTTAAGGTTATAAAGTTAGTTAATCAGTAGTAAAGGCCAGGCATAGTGACACATGCCTGTAAACCCAGCACTTGGGAGGGTGAGGCAGGAGGATCCCCGAGAGTTTAGGCCAGACTGGGCTACATAGTAAATTCAAGGCTGGCCTGAAGTACATAGCGAGACCCTGTCTCAAAAAACAAAACAAAACAGTAGTAAAGAGATCATATAATTTCAAAAATGGGGGAAATTTTAAAATATACTTTAAGAACATAGGTAATTCTCAAAAAGATGAGGCTAAGTCACAATAGTGACAAATTCCTCTCATTGCTAACCTTTAGGTAAAAGCAGCAAATGAGACATCTTAGAATCCTGGCAGCCACTGTCATATATGGAAAAGGCAAAATGGGTCCAGCGCTACTAAACTGAAACTGGATAGACTGGTATAAATTCATGGCTGGATAGATATGGATAGATAAATTTGTGGGCAGATGGATGGATGGATGGATAGACAGACAGAATATCCAGACACTGAAGCAGATACAGACTGGTAAGTTTGGTTGGCAGACAGCTAAGAAAGAGATGCATTACCTGGCCCCCCCCCCCCGCCAAACACAAATACAAATGAAAGAGGCAACAATTAGGCAAACACAGTAAAACATTAACATTTGGAGAATATGGATAAAAGATAAATAGGAATTCCTAGGGCTTTTCTGTTTTTTTAAAGTCAAAAGAAAAAAGGAAAAAGGTTCAAACCATTGGTCAGCCATGGTCACTAGTTTCCAGAGGAGTAAAAAGCAGGCATAATGGGAATAAAGTGGGCTGAGTAAGATAGTTTCCAAAGCCCAAAAATGGAGGGGTTTGGGGCAGGAAAAGAAACGAGGAGGAATACATAACACAAATAATAGACAAGAAGAATACCAAATAGAGGCACTACATTATTTTTTTAATTATTTAAAAAGTGTACGTTAGGCAACACAGATTATGTACCAAATATGCTGAACTATCTGATCATGCTTGGTAACACCAAATTTATTTATCAAATACACTGTATTGTGTTACTGCTAAACAACAGAATGTCTGCTATGATGAATGTGGTCATTATGTATATCTAAAATTCACCAATAAAATTAACTAAAAAACAAAAAAACAACAGAATGTCTATTTACCTGCTATACAATGAGCTCTCTGAAAGTGCATCCATTAATGGTCCAATAATAAACTAAAAAAAAAAAAAAGACGCATAATTGATAGGAAGTTGTAACTGCACATCTACACTGGGAGGCCAAAGGCTGCAGCAACAAAGCTGACCCTTTCTGCTGCAGGTTAATTCAGCGAGGGTCCCAGTATGCCCGGTGTGTACCTTAACTCCATCAGAATAAGTACAGAATTTTCCCACCTGTTAAAAATCTAAGGCATACTAATAAGAGTTCACATTGTGGGTTGAGAAAGAAGGAAGGAACCCAAAGAAGCACATTCTGGGAAATAATGGTAGTACCAAGAAAAACAAGATACTCAAGATTTAAGCCCCTGTGCCTAGAAGATAAAGGGGGAACTTATATTTTAAAATATGACTATTCACTGGTCAAAAAGCAAGCTTACATGAAGTGCAGAAAGGGGAGGGTAATATAGAAAAATGTTACAAATACAACAGCATGTGTTCAATTAGAAAATGGACTTAGATTACCTCTAAATGGAAGGAGGATTGCCCAACCTAAGGAAGTAGTCTTAGGAAACAGCACTGTAACACAAGCTGTAATTCTCCTGGTCACTGGTCTCTATGAGGCTTCTGATAAATGGAAGAACAAATTCTAACAAATGGAGCTCAGACAGCAAGCTGTCCTACAATAGGAGATGACAGTGCTGAACTGGCTTAGCTGTATCCTTTAACTCAGAGCAGCAGGCCAGCTTCACCCAAAAGCTTTGATGCCACTTTTCACACTCTACACCGGTGATGGCAAACCTTTTAAAGGTTTCTGTGATACAAAGAGCCCACTGTGGCATGCATGCCATAGGTTCACCACCACTGCTCTAGACCAATGAGGTCTGGAAACAAACGGTAGAGAACTAATGGCCACCACGGCCAGGGTGCCAGAAGCGCTACCATTCAGCTTGTGAAAATGACACAGCTTTTTCCAAAAGGGATATATTTGGAGAGGTAACAGTGTTCTAGTGTGCTTATCTGAAGATCACATAAGATACAACAAATGTCTCCTTTTGACAAAGGGACCAAGGAAAGGGAGCAAGAAAGGGGCTGTCATCACCTCAGAAAATTCCAGTGAGAATGGAAGAGCCACTGTTTCATACAGCTCCAAAAAATGAATGATGCCTTCTTTGGTCAGGATTTTATTTTCACTTTCAAACATTCTTTTATAAATACACAGATGCCAGGAGGGGTGAAAGAGCCAACAGCCTGCGGAAAAAGGATGTGATGCTGACATCCAATTCTTAACTTTATGTCTCTCGACGTAGATTAGTCACAAATATGTGTACCAACACATTAACTGCATTAAAACATTACAAAACATGGTTTGTTTTTAATCACTGAATAACCAAAATAATTTCACTATTAAGTACTCTGTGTTCAGACAGTTTAATTGAGAAGAACTGCAAAAGAATATAAGAGCTGCTGCAGTCCATAAAAATTAGATGTTACCTCATGCATATAGATGGGAACTTTAGCTCTGGGGCGGTCTTAATCAATGCTTCTCTCATCCCACTTCAGTCCATTCAGCATACAGAAATCTGAAAGTGTCACCCCTCTGTCTTAACACCCTAAATGGTTTCCTGCCACTCTCAGAATAAAGTCTGAAGGAGATATGGACTGACCCTGGCTCCCACTCCAACCCTGTCCTCTTCTCCTCCACTCACTTCCTGCAGCTCCGCGGGTTGTCTGCCTGGCCAAGGTATTCCCATCTAGAGCTTGTGCTGCCTCCTTAATCTGAGCCCAGACGTCACTCAAGACAGCCCTTCCTCACTAGCCCCGCACTGTCTACTCCATTCCAGCCCCTTACCTATTCCCTTCATACAACTACACAACTTATAAACAAAACTATGTTTTCCATGGAAAACAGACAAAATTCAAGTGTAAAAAGTATTGCAACTGTCTTACCACTTTATCCCCAGTCTTTCGCATATATTGGATTCTAAGTAAATACCTATTAAGTTAATATATAATCAAATGAGCAAATAGATTATGGAATGAATACCCCTTAGAGGAATTTTTCTGGCTCTTGAATATCCTTTAATTCTATTAGAAAAAAAAAGAACAGCATTTTTAACTCATGACAGTCTATAAATAAATTGGTCTATTATTCGTAATTTACACCAATATGCCTGTTCAAGTCTTTGGTAATGGTGATTTTTCAAAAACTGTCTCTATTTATTTGATTTGCCAAGTGCTGTGGGCAAAATGTGGTAATAAAAGCATCATTTTAATAGTAAGTGCATCAAGTGAAGTCACAATCAGATTCAATTAAATGGTAGCCCCAGGTGGGACCATACATGCTTATGGGCTGTGAAAAATCCCAGTGTATCAGAAAACAGCTTTCAGCAGTCAGCTGAATAAAGCTCAATTCCTAAGGGTCAAGCTATTAAAGTTGTAATTATCAAGAGCAGGCATTAAAGCCCATTTACCTAGGTTAATCCTCATGTGTCAACACAGTAATTTATCATTCCTATGAGTACAAAACATGGCTGGCCTGCATTTCACTGTTTCCCTGATCTAAACTTAATTTCATAACATAATTTTAGGAAACTTCAGCTTCATTTCATTTCTCTTGGGAAGCTCTCAAAATACAGTAGTGATCAAGACCTTTAAAAACATCTTTACACTGGAGGCTGGACCAGGAGGATTGCAAGTTCGAGCCCAGCCCGGGCAATTTAGCAACTTAACAAGACCTTGTCTCAAAATAAAAAATGAAAAAAGGACTGGGGATGTAGCTCAGTGTGAAGACCATGGGTTCAATTCTCAGTTTAACCAATCAATCAATAACATGTTTAAAATTATACCCTGGACTTTTCTCTTCCTAAGAAGTCCAAGATACATAACAGTATCAGAATCCCCCAAAAAACAAATGATACATGTGTATTTATACATAAAAATGATAAAGAGAATAAGAATGAAAAGCAGTTAGCATAAATATTCATATCCTAAGGCTATTTTTATAGCAAATACCATTATGAAAGTATTATGGAAGGGTCCTTATCTTTCAAGGATCTAGACTGACGTATTTACAGATGAAATGATATGATGTTGGGTGGCTGGGGATGAATGGGGAAGGATGCACACGATGAGAAGAGTCAAGGCTGGCCACAGTGGACTGTTGCTAAGTGGGTGATGGGTTTATTGCACTCGTACATAAGGTTCACCTCCAATAAATCCTTGAGATTTCTCATAGTCAAACATTTTTTAATTATTCATATCTCTAAATTACAATTAAATTTTCTCGGGGAAATTACAGAAAACTCTGCAGTTATTTAAAGTTATATCTCTGAACCCTGCATAAGGATATGGATGAAGGACATCATATGGGCACGCTGCTGCCTTGGGACAGTGACTCAGAAGAGACATCTCTGAGAAACTAGCAGTGAATATTAATAGGTGGTAGCATTACCGGGTGATTCATATTTTCTTCCTTGTACTTTAATAGTTTCCAAATACTCTACAATAAACAAGCATGTTATAAAACTAAGGGGGAAACTACAAATGTTATTTTTTAAAAAGCAAAAAAGAAAGTAATCATTACCATTTTCTTCTGACACTGCATATTCAAACAGATTGTTTAGCTTTGGTAAGACTGGCTTTATAACATGTATCTAAAAATAAGAGCAAAAAATAATAAAATGAAAACGCACCTTTAAAAAATGTAAGGGAATGTTCATCTATTTATATAATAGCAGCCCTTTTGTTTTTACACTCGTGAAAAATACGCATAAGGAGGCTGATTCTTTTAGGTTTTGAATCATGGCACGAATCAGGCATGTAGAACCAAGTATGGCAAAGATAATGACTGTGAACACAATGATGGCAATGGGTACCTTTACATGGTGAGGTAATGCATTCCAACATTATTTTATGTAATGTTCAACTGACCTGGAAGACAGGCAGGGTTGACAAAACTGATATATTTAAGAAGGAAAAAATAAAGAAGCATTTTCTCCAGTCACTTAAGTTGTTCAATATCACATATTTACAGGCGGAGAACATTCAAAGCTCAACGTTCTTCATAACGCTTAGACCAGGACAGGGGCACCTTGCCTGTGTTTAATTTGGATACCCTTCAAAATATATGTACACTAGGTCTCTAAAATAAATAATGAAGGTCTATGGATCTACTCACCAAAGAAGCTCTAGAAGTTTCTTTCAATTTAGAAATGCTTTTTATTCTTCATTCTGCATCGCTGTGTAATTTGGTACATGAGTAACTTCCCTACTCCCATCCACCATGCTTGCTGCACATGGGGGTTGACCCCTCAGTGGCCTACAATCTACAGGTGGGGACCTACCTTGGGGAATAATGCAAAGGCACCACTTTGCACAAAACTCAAATGCTCAGGCCCTAACTCAGATCTACCAAATCAAAAAATATGGGGATAAGCCTAGCAATTTATACTTTATAACTGCATGATTCTGAAAAATGCTAAGGTCTGAGAATGCCAGGGGTCAAAGGGAGGGGAAGGGAATAGGAAAAATAGAAGATATATCATGTACAGGTACAAATTACCTATGATGAATGTTATCACTATGGATATCTAAATTGTACCAATAAATATTTTGCTTAAAAAAAAAGTGATATCCTTTGTAAAAAAAATTAAGTCTCAGAATGCCAAGGCAAAATCAAAAAAGACTCAATTTTTTCAACTATCATTTGAGTTGCCTAAAAATATTAATTTCCTGAAACAATTCACATTCTATTTTACTTTTTTGTGGGGGGGGCGGGGTACCAGGGATCAGACTCAGGATCTTCCGCTTTCGAGGCAGGCAGCAGCACCACTGAGCTAAATTCTGGCCCCAGATTCTATTTTAAATAGTATTTGTACCAGAAACAAAGGATATTTTGGTTCTATCATGCTGTATCTAAGTTGAACTTTTTGCATTGCTTTTAATGAATGTCTGAAAAAGAGAAAAACTCTATCTATTGCAGGATTTGCTGAAACTTGAAAAAACTTACCTGATTCCCTTCTAGAGTTTCCATAATTAAAATATAATTTTCCCAAAATTTTAGAAGCTCGTCTTTTTTCTTCTTAGACCACCAAAACAGACTTGGGCCTAGTATGATGTAAAAAAAGAAAATTAGTTCTTTTTTACAAATTTCATAATTTTCTTCATAATAGCAGTTGGTAAAATAATGCCACTATTACCAAAACCTGCATTTCTTAATAATACAGGACATCCTGTGTCACAGCCTAGATTGAAATCTCACAAGGATTTTTTTTGGTTGTGTTTTTGTTTTTAAATTAAGATTACTGTTGTGAAGTTTTGGGTAAAAATGACAGATTTCACATATAAGCTGTTCTTTCCATAAGATTCTAACAGTAGAGTATTTTTGAAAAGCAAAATCTCAGAAGAAAAACGCAGGAAGAGGTAATAGCAATAAAATTTAGAATTTGAAAATCAAATTAAAACCAAGGTAATTCAAGAAAAACAAATTCTCAGTTAACATAGGGAAAGCTATGAAATAATTCAGTTTGCATTTCAAAATTTCCCAAGCATAGGAACTTGGTAGCAAAAGTTGCTTCTACAGGTGGCTAAACTAGACGACTTGCTCAGAGACTATTTAAGAACAGGATGCTATTTAAAAGGGGACATTCTAAGAATAAACAGCACTTGCTGACAACTAAAATTTGATAACAAAAATAAGAAACTCATAGGGCTAGGAATAAAAGAAATCACCCAGGGAGTACAGAAAAAAGACCAAATCCTTAGGAGAGAAAAGATGCTACTATGTAGAAAAGTCCAGGAGATTTAATATCCAAAAAAGAGAACAGAAATTGGAAGGGAAAGGAGGAAATCATCAAGAAAATTTCTCAGAACCAAAGAACATAATCTTCAGCCTCAATAGGCACAAGAGATAAGTGCCCAGCACAAGGATGAAAATAAATCAGTAAAAATCTGAAATTTCAGAAGCTGGGGCCACAGATCTGAGTCTCCAAGGAGAAGGCACACATTGTACATAAAGAAACAGGATCCAGAATTGACTGGCACTTCTTAATAGCAGCAATGGAAACTTTTCTTATCCAAGTTGATAGGCCAAGGCCTTTAAAATTTTTGATGAAAACATTTTCCAAGCTAGAAATCTGCTCCCGATCAAACCATCAATCAAATATGAAATGAGGATGTTTAGACATGTGTAGTCATGGCTTCAACTTCAAACAGAGAAAACCATATGAGACCATACTGCCTCAAAGAGAGAAGGCTGGATAATCTACTAAATCCTAAACTGTCAGCAGGCCTGGCTGAATGGCCTTCCAAAGGCCAAAAAGTCCCCAAGCACAGAAAGGGCCTGCAAACTGTTCCACCTCCGGCTGCACACAGAGGAAGAGGGAGCAATCAAAAACAGTTTTAGAAAAATGGCATTTTAATGAGTTTTTAAAGGCCAAAGGCAAGCTAGCTTGACAGCTTGGCAACCCTGAGAAAGCGAGGGACCACATCTCGCCTGTCCTGGTATTCTGGAGAAGGATCTTGGGCAGGGAAGAAGGCTGGGAGGGACAGATATGCAGGCCTGCCTCAGTTTGAGAGGCAGCAGGACCCACTGTTGGGCAGAAGCATAGCCAGTCAGGACCACCAATGCCTCCTGCCTGGCCCTCCTTGACCACAGATAAGAGATCAAAGCACTGGTCACCAAAGAGGGGCAGGAAGCCCACACGTGCACCCTTGACCTGCCCTGATGCCAGCCAAAGCTGGCTGTCTTTGGGAGGAACAGAAAACCTGCTTCTCTGACCCTGCACTGAGACTATTAATCAAAAGCATCTGGGGCTGGCTATTTAGCTCAGTGGTTCTGCCGCCTGCCTCGAAAGCATAAGGACCTGAGATCGATCCCTAGTACCAAAAAAAAAAGCATCTGTGGCCCCAGAGGGCAAGGGAACCTGCTCCTGCTGGTATCCTGCAGCCAGACAAAGTCAGTCTGGGCTTCGAGGCCAGGACACTGGTGCTCAAAACTTCTCAAACCAAGGGCCGGGGATTTAGCTCAGTGGTTCGGCTGCCTGCCCTGAAACCGATCCAGAAAGCAGCTAGCACAGGAGGGCAGGGTTACCCCCAAGCCCTTTGCCAGGTGGGAGACAGAGGCTATGTGCCACTGGAGAGGGAGCAGGGATAGAAAGAAACTGTACCTTGAGAATCAAACACACAGGGCCTAAAATGAGACTGGAGTAGAAGAAATGAAAACCCCTTCCCCTAACTCAAACTGCCACCAAGCATCAGCAGTCAGACCTTAGAAGCCATGGCTCAGGCATCAAACTTGAGGAAAGCCTTACATCCTCCAGGCCGCCCCCTAAGCATGCCACCACAGGAAGAACTGGAAAACCAGCATGTACTAAGGCAGGAACAGCAACAGCAAACTCCAAATCTAGCTCAACAAGGAGCCAGATCCACTCAACACTGAGGACTGAGGGCTTAAAAGGAGTGCCTCCTTCCAGGCAGAAATATTTACTCAAGTTTTGAAGGTTATCCTGAGAAAACTGACTCCACAAACAAAAGACAAAACAGAAAGCAAAGACAAACCTATCAGTGTCGTAAATAAACACAATCATGTTAAAGGACCTAATGGAAAAGGCAAACAACATGCATAAACCCATGAGTGGATGGGGATTACGACAAGATGTCAATTATTTCTTAAGAAATTCAATGGAAATGCTGGAAATAAAAACATGTTGTCAGACACAAAGGATCTTTTGAAGGAATTATTAGACAGGTAACCTTTAAAAGTTTTCATCTCAGAAACTATTGGAGGGAGAATGCACTACACACATACAAATGGGTAAAAGTCTGAACTACAGGAAACAGAGCTCCAGGACAGGACTCCAGAAGGGAATCTGGTGACAAGAGATCCCTGGGCATCAGGAGTAAATGAAAGGGCTCTAGGAAAGATTTCTTCAGGAAAACTTAGAAAACATCTGATGGTCTGACTTTGTAAAGATTTAGACAACTGGTTGAGAATTTAGGACTGAATTAGTGATTAGTATGGACAGAACCAAACAAACTTAAACAAACAGTGACTATCACTTTCTATACACATCACTTGTGAATAGCATTTAAAAAGTCACACTGTGGTTAAGCTGAACATACATTTAGCCAAAAGATTAACTATGGCAATGGATTTACAGTATCTTCTCTCAAGACACTGGCATAAATACCAAAATATTCAGTTGAAAGTGTCAAAAGCGTTTTCTTTTAGCTTCGTATTTAGCGAGTATTAGTAAATCCTGATCATGAGAATTACCATGGGGTAAAAAAGAGAATTACCAAGAAAAATTTCAAAAGAATGAGGTTAACTCTAACTTGTTTCAATGCATTTACCCGAATACAGGTGTGCATAATTTTTGTTTCACATCTGGTGGACGTCAACCCCCCCCTCTCCCAAAGGCTCAACTACGAAACTGAATGAGTCTGTAAAATCCAGCTCTGGGTCTGACTGTTCCTGGCTGCTGAGACTTTGTGTCACTTCACAGGACACCCTCCAGGAGGGGTTCCCAAGGCTGTCAAACTTTAAGGGTGCCATCTGGAATGGCCAAATCCTGCAAGGATAGTCGGGGAGCTCCGGAGGAGCTAGCTTTCCGAAGCCAGTAGGGTCAGCCAGGGCCTCAGGCAAGTACCAGTTCCTTCCTGGGGGCCGCAGGTGCAACCGACGCCCCGCTCTGCAGACACCTCCACGGCCCTCTGCAGTAGGTAGCGCGCGCGCTTGCGCGTCAGGGCGTCCTCGGCACAGCCCAGACCCGCCTGCACCGTCCTCCAGAAGCGTCCGCAGCGCCGTGCGTCGGGGCCCGCGTCGCACGCGCCGGGTTCGGGCAGCAGTTTCTCAGCCAGCGCGCTGAGCAGCCGCAGCTCGGGCCCGACACGGCCTGGCTCAGAGCGGTTCCCTGAGGACGCCAGCGCTCCCCAAACGGCCGTCAGCGCCACGCCGCCGCCCTTGCCCAGCGCGGTCACCAGCGCCGCCGCGCCCTCAGCGCGACCCGGCCCTTCGGCGTCCAGCGCCAGGGCCACGGCGGCCTGCGCCACGCGCTCCAGCAGCGCGCCGTCCTCGTGGGGCCGCAGGCAGGGCGCGACAGCCGCCAGTATCTCCAGGGCCGCTTCGGCGCCCGGTGGGCGCCCAGCTCGCAGCTCCCTCAGCGCCTCCTCTGCCAGTGCGGCTGCCAACGGCGGGGAACCTGCGAGCCGGGCGCACGACCGTAGCGCCGCGCCCGCCGCCCGCAGCACGCGCCGCCGGGACCGCGGGGGACCAGGGTCGTGACCGCCAGGGCGGCCGTGCAGCAGGGGCACCAAGTAACCCGCGGCCAGCTCGCGCGCCGCCTCCGGGAGCGCGCCCTGCCCCGCGCCCGCGTCCTCAAGACGCTGCAGGAGGAAACGCAGCGTCTCCACGCGCTCCGCCGATGCCTCCCCTCGGCACAGAGCCCCGAGAAGGACCCGGGGGTCCCCGCTCTGCGCGAGCAGTGCCTCCGCGAGCACCCACTCCATCCGACCCCGGATACAGAGAAAGGCGCTGGCGTGCGCGTGCACCGGCCAAGCCGCGAGGGCGTGCGCGTGCATGCACCCGTGGACTCGGGGCGCGTGCGCGGGGAGGGGCCTCCCGCTGGGCCCCTTCCACCAGCAAGGCTTAAAACTACCTGGCCATCAGTGTAGTTCAGGAGAAAAAAGGCTCTTCTTAAAAGTGAATGCAATGTTTTCGGCAACTCTGTCGATTCCTGATTGGAGACTGGCCTGCGCAGCCCTAAAGTGGCCAGGCATGTCTGTGAGTGGAAATTGGACCCTTGCAGTTTAGCTGTACATCACAGTCACCGAGAGCTTTTTTTCAAAAGATGCATGCTGGGTGCCACCCACAAAGACCCTGACGCGGCTGGATCCGAAGTGGATTCTGGACATCTGCGTTAAAAATAAGACCCCAGGATGATTTAGGCCAGCATGAGCAGTGCTGTGCTTGTGTGCTAGGATACATCCCAAAGCAAAATACCCACACCACCCCTCACAGGCCAGTGCCCATGCTCCCAACTGCCCCTACAAGGCATGTGCTTGCCCCCACGTGCAAACTCAAAACTAGTCCCCGTGTATTGTTTGTATTGTGACAGCATCTAAAACTAAATATAGAAATAGAAACGTCCCCTGAGCTGCATGTTGCTGCATTGGTTCCTGGCTCAGTCCTGCATTAATTGAATCAGTGATGTGAGGTTTTTTTGCCTTCTCACAGTAAAGATCTGTCCTTTAATTGAGGAGACACAATCCCACCTTCAGAGAGCTTGACATGCAATAAACATAATGGGTAAAGTAAAAATAAAGTTATTTTAAAGTTATCTTATGGTACATATACAAGACATTTTCCATTTGTCATTCTCTTTTCTATTGACAAGACCTCATAAATGGTTCTATTTTAAATCCACTAAGAATATTAGCAAATATCAATTGCCTTCAAATAATATGCCAATAACATTATTTTTCTCAACATATACATATATCAAACATAAATGGGCAAAAATTTGAGCAGATGTTTAACAAAGATACACAAATGTAAGCATTTTCAAAGATGTTAAACATCATTAATCACCAGAGAAATGAAAATTAAACCCACAACATGGTACCACTTTAAACTCCTGAGAATGGCTAAAGTTTTTGAAAAACTGAGAACACCAAATGACAAGGATCAAAGATGTGAAAAACTAGCACTCTCATACATTACCTGTGGACATGAGTCTTAGTTACTTTTCTCATTGCTGAGACAAAATATTCAGCTTCTGTTAAGAGAGGAAAAGTTCAATTACATCACAGTTTTTAGTGGTTTCAGTCCATAACCAGCTGGCTCCAAGACAGGGTGGCATGGCAGACAGGTATTGCAGAAGAGAAATGGCTCATAGTGAGCAGAAGGTAGCAAAACAAGCAAGGGATGACCACAGTTCTTTCTATCTTTTATATCTTATTCAGGCTACTTAGGGTGGGCAGCACTCACGCACTTAATCCTAGTTCCCTTGAGCCTAGCATTGCACCATGAATCAATTCCAGTGTCATGCACTCTAGATCTAACCACCTCTGAAAAAGCCCCACCTATGACTGCATGAGGCTTTAGGGGGACATCTAGGCACAAGCCATAACAGCATATAATGGTAGACTTGTTTCTTACCAAGTTAAAATCGACCAAATGATTTAGAAAAGTGTGCCCCTAAGTATTTGCTTGAAACAAATGAAAACATACGCCAGCAAATCCTGCAGAAGAAAGTTGTTGGCAACATTAGCCGCTACAGCCAAAAGCTTCTAACAAACTTAATGTCCATAGGTGAAAGAAAGGATAAACAAATTGTGACTTATATAATAATACTATCAACAGTAAAACAAACTGAATTGCTAATCCATGCAACAACATGGATATGTCTCAAAAACATTCTGTTGAACAAAAGAAGCCAGGCAAATTTTACATCCTTATGATTCCATTTACACGAAATTTGAGAATAGACAAACAATATGTAGGGTAGAATGAATAGTAGTTGCTATAAGGAGTGGAAATTGACTGGAATCAAGCTGAGGGAAAACTTCTGGGGTCATGAGAATATTTTATCTTGAGCAGGGCATTGCTTACAGTTTCATATTTGTCAAAACTTCTTGAATTGGGCCAGAGATGTAGATCAGTGGTTCTGCCGCCTGCCTCACAAGTGCAAGGTCCTGAGTTCAATCCCTGGTACCAAAAAAAAAAACCTCCTTGAATTGAACCCTTAAGATTTATGCATTTTGGGGCTGGGATTTAGCTCAGTGGTTCCACTGCCTGCCTTGCAAGCGCAAGGACCCAAGTTCTATCCCCGGTACCAAAAAAAAAAAAAAAAGATCCATGCATTTCATTCTGTTTAAATTTTACCTGAATTTTTAAAAATGATTTATATAAAAAGAAAAGCAATATATCAGCCTATGTATTTGTTCCCTGTTGTCTATGAGCCCCATGCAGACATGACATGGAAGGCTTGCTGGGAGCTGGTCCAGGCCACCCTCACAACCTGATTCTCTTGTGGTCCCAGCGCACAGATCTCTCCTTATCCCACACCATGTTTGTACTTTCTCCTCTTCGAGCATAATTCCCACATCTACCAATTGCTTCGAGCATAATTCCCATAGCCATCCATCTAATTGCTAAAGGTGCCCTGTGTGGTCCTTATCTAACTGGACTCTGCTGAGTATTTCCTTTGCCTTGAACCCTTTTGCCCCTCTGGCCTCCCCAGCTGTTCCATCTCCACCTGTGGTAGAACCCTCCTTTTTCTCCTGATCTGTTCATGCTAATGTTTCCAGAGTTACATTTCCAGATCTAGTTTTGATATGCAAACAATGAAAAGAGTCTATATCTACACCCCTAGCCTATGTTTGTCTCCTGAGACCCATCTGCAGGGATAGCTTCAAATCCACCTACACAGCTACCTGCTGGACAGCTCCACCTTCACAAATCTAAACTAGTTGTCCTCACTCCATCCTCTCTGCCATCATCATTACTCCCCACTAATTCTCCACAGGAATTCCTTGTTTGAGGGAAGGGGTGTCATTTCCAAGCTGCCCAAATCAAATACCTGGGACAATAGACTTCCCATCCTCTTCCTTGCTCCGCACAGTTGCTAGTCTCATTTATCTATGCAACTTTCCAAATCCTTCTCTTACTGGCTCCTATTTTCTGTCCTCCCTTAGTATGTTAGTTTTAAGCCTTCATCATTTATTACTAACAGTAATAACCCTCCACCTGACTTACAGTCCACTCCAATACATACTCCATATTGCTACCAGGATGATCTTCCTAAAATTAAACCACAAAATGGGAGGGCTTTTGAAAAGACAAAGAAAAGTGAGAGAGCATGACATGTTTTTGAGGACTTTAACAGTAAGTGTAGAGTTTTTGTCAGGAGGGTAAACCTGGAGAATAGGCAGGGATCTCCCACAAGGCCTCTTGGAAGAAATTCAAACAGTATAGGAAGTCAGTGGTTAAGCTTTAGGAAGATCACTATGTCCAGTTGGCTATATGTAGGCTCTCTGTTCCCCCAATGTCTAGCACATAGTAGGCACTCGGTGAATCACTGTTTCAAGAATGAATGGGAATTGGGATTGTGCTTTGATTTTGTATCCTAAACACCAAACATAGAACCAGCAGTATAATAGTATTCAATAAGTACTTGCAACTAGATAAGTAAAGATTCAGTATTTTATAGTGATAGTATCTAAGTTGGTTAGCTGGAGAATTTTCAGTCAGATACTTACCCATAAAACATGAGCATTTGTGAGCTGAAATCCTCAGTGCCTGGTTCTGTAGAAAACAATACACCACTTTGATAAATGAAGGGGACCCAGTGTGAGAACAGCCAGGCATCCTGCTTGTCCTCTCAGAGTTGAAGGTTTGCACAGAAAGTGACATAGAAAGAGGGTTTGGAATGGTTTGCTTTTCCTACTCCCTGCAATTTTCCTGTTTCATCTGCAAATGAATGGCGACTGTGAGTAGCTGTTATTTTTGACATCAAATGCAGATGCCAGGACAAGAGCCATTGTTTCACCTCCATTCTGTACTATGGCTACCTTGCTATAGCCCAGATGTCCCTTAAACCTAAAGTTGCCCTTACCATCTGTTTTCTCCAGCAACAATTAGGTAGAATTTGCTGCTGCTGCTGTTGTTGTTGTTGTTGTTGTTGTTGTTGTTGTTGTTGTTGTTGTTATTGCAGTGCTGGGGATAGAACCTAGGACCTCATAAATGCTAGGTAAGTGCTTTACCACTGAGCTACAACCCAGGCCTAAATAAGTGCAGTTTGGAGAAACTCTGCTGTGCCTTCCCCACCTTTGAAGGTGTCCAACAGTGGCCTCTGGGGAGTCCTTTTCTGGTGAGAGCTCCTACCTCCACTTCTGGCTAAGACCATCATGCTTGGGACCCACAATACTATAAAGGTAAATGGGGCTTGGTTGTCTACACCATATATTTTAGATCTCTCCATAAACTCTCTAGGGATGGACATTGCTGATTCCCTTCTAGTCTGAAATGGCACACATGTAGCTGAGCTTGCTCAGCGGCACCTCTAACTTTTATGCTGACCCTTCTTACTCTCCCAACCTGGAACAGGCACCACTTCTTGCTTAAGCAGGGTGATGGAGAGAGGATGGAGAGTGCATGGGAAGAGGAGGTGTAAGTTAGGGATAGTGGGCAGGTAAAGGGATTCTCCTTTCACAGTGTTTGCATGAACTGGATGTCCATTCACGTCAAGGCACACTGCAGGCAGTGAACTCAGTCTTTCCAAGGAGGAAGCAGCCAAAAGCACTGTAACACTGTGAGTGCTACAGGACTTAACCGTGATGGATAAAATGTTGACCTGAGAAAGGCAACAGGGCTCAAAGCCCAGGGAAAAATTCTTAGATGCATTCACCTGTCGTGCATTTGTGTTCCAGAGGGCCGGGCTGCTATGTGACCAAATGTGACACTGGCATTTCTTTGAACAGAAGATGGTGCTGTTGTCAATGTCATGGGCTTTTCCGTCCTCCCAATTCATGCTTGCAGTTGCACA